TTGGCTGGTTTGATTCCAGTTCAGTACAAAAAATTTAAATGCACGTATAATATATCGATTGACGTCGGTGTAGGTATTTTACGTACATGTAATACTCGTATGTAAACATTTACAATACAAATCTAGTCACAGTGTAATATCCCTGTTCAACAATGCTTTTAGTCACAGAAATAAGCCTGTAGATTTAGCCGATTTCCGGGGAGGTAGAGACACGTTCCCAATTTCCAACTTGGAGGGTATTTTAAATAATTTAAGCAGCATTAGTTATTGACAAAACATAAAACGAAGCTTGACTTATGTTTGTGGCGACTTCCACATATTGTGAAACAAAACACTTCCACATCATCTATCGAAGACACACTAAACTACGGGGTAACTGCTAAACCTGTATTTTTTTTATATAAGGGGCAAACGAGCAGACGGGTCACCTGATGGCAAGCAACTACCGCCGCCCATGGACACCTGCAACTCAAAAGTCACAAGTGCGTTGCTGCCCTTGGGGATTTAGGCTCCGGTAACCTCACTCACTCTGTGAAAGGCAAAGAAAGGATTGCTTAACACCGGTTTTCTGTGAGGCCGTGGTATCACTCCGATCTAGCCGGCCCATTAGTGCCGAAGCATGAACCGTGGGAGAGCCCACGGTAATAATCGCGATATGAAAAATTCTCACGCCGATTACCATATATAGAACTTCCCAATATCAGGCGATAGGTGGCGGCCCGCCAGACATGATCACCTAGCCTGGTTGGAAGATCCTCCCTTTGTTTCGGAGGGACCTGACCCCTGTTCTCTACATGTTCATACAGTCGCTTACGCGAGTATTTGGCAAAAAAGCTCTAGATTCGTGTACGCAATTTAATAATGATAATTTATTTCCATAAAAGATACATAAACATGTCTTCCTTGCATTTATTCACTCATCGAGAAAAAAATCTTGCCTATACGGCATAAAAAATATACGGCATTTGTGAAGAAAAGTCTTCATAAAGTTAAATATCCGGCACAGAATTCTACTGTTAATCGCACCTCCTATTTTTCCATCTACAGCTACATATGAATCTTCCTCTGCTTTATGTGGGAAACTGTAGGGTAACACAGGCGGTTTGTGTACCGGCACCCATTCTGATTTGCATACTTTTCTCAGCAATCTAATGTCAGCCTTTTCATATTATTATTATTACCTATGACCGTTATGTATGGTAAATACAATTGTACGAGGGGTGATCAATAAGTAATGATAATCGAGTATTTCTAGAACGCACAAAAACCCAAATTATTTTTTTTCTGCTTGCTTATATATCCACTACTTCAGCTTCAAAAAAATGTATAAATAGGACACCATTACCAGCAGATACATTCGTTTGAATACGAACTGTCGAAGAGAAAACATCAAAATGGAGAAAAATGAAATAAGAGCTGTCATCAAGTACCTCTGCCTGAAAAAAATGTCTACCAAAGACATACACAGCGACTTAGAGGAAACATTGGGGGAGTCTGCTCCTCCATATTCCACAGTCGCACGCTGGGCAAAGGAATTTAAGCTGGGCAGAACCTCCACTGAATCCTCGTATAGTAACATTTTAAAGTTGAAGAGCCTATTTGGGCTATTTGTGTGGTTGAATGTTGCAGAAAATTTATATTCCTTTTGAAAGACGCAGATGAGGTTGTTACTTATAAATTTTAAACATTATGCACTACATTTTGCTATGATTATTCCAGCGGAATAAACTAGCACAGTTTTACGAGGGGTGATCAATAAGTAATGATAATCAATATGAAACAGAACTATTAGATTAAAAAAAGTATTTTATTTTTCAACATAGTCTCCTTGCAAGTTAATACATTTAGTGTATCTTTTTTCTAAGCCCATGATTCCCTTAGAAAAAAATTCTTTGTCTTGACCCTCCCAAAATGCCTCTACTGCGGCCATCACTTCACTATTGTCCTCAAATTTGTTGCCCCGGAGGTGTTCTTTGAGCCGAGGAAAGAGGTAGAAGTCACTGGAAGCTAGATCTGGCGAATAGGGAGGGTGTTCGAGCAGTTCGAACCCCGTTTCTTCAATGGCAGCCATCGCAACTGCGGCTTTGTGAGCCGGGGCGTTGTCTTGGTGAAACAGCACTCCAGCGCGCAGTTTACCGCGTCTTTTTGACTTAATAGCTTCTCGCAATCTTCTTATTTGGCCTGCGTAGTAAGAGCCTGTTATAGTGGCCCCCTTTTCCAAATATTCCACCATAATAATTCCTTCTGCATCCCAGAAAACAGACGCCATAACCTTTCCCGCTGAACTTGACACTTTGAATTTCTTCGGCGTTGGTGAGGAAGCTCGTTTCCAAGTCATTGATTGTTGTTTGGTTTCGGGATCAAAGTGGTGGATCCAGGTCTCGTCCATGGTCACAAAACGCGACAAAAAAAATTCTTTATCGGCTTGGAACTTTTGAAGATTCACCCTCGAAATGTCGACTCGTTTCTTTTTTTGCTCGTCGGTTAACATTCTCGGTACCCAACGCGCAGAGACCTTTTTCATATGCATTTTGTTGACAATGATTTTTTGAACGCTGCCATAGGAGATCCCTGTGACCTCAGCTACATGCCTTACGGTCACCCTTCGATCGGCCAACACGATATCTTCCACTTTTTGGACGTTTTCTAAAGTAAGGGACGTGGAAGGGCGTCCCTCGCGATGTTCAACGCAGGACCTTGCGAGCACGTGATGGTATTGTCCTCGAAATGAAAGTATCTTCATCTGTGTTCTAGGACTGCACGGATGGCGTAGTGGTTTAAGCGGTCGCCACGCCGCTTCCTACTACCCGAGTGTTGTGGGTTCAAACCCCACATGGGACGACACTTTGTGTGATCCACAAATTGTTGTTCTGAATCTGGGTGTTCTTTGTGTCCGTTTCATGTATGTTTGTAAAGTCCCCCGCGACACAGGATTTATTCCTAATGCGGGAGTTGTCTTTAAAAAAAAAAAAAAAAAAAACTATAGGTATTCTAAGTTTGAGTTAGGATAGCACTGTGTAATTTGTTTTAGAATTTTATATGAATATTATATAATGAAATTCATTTTGGCTCGAAATCCACTCGACAAAATAAGCACCTTTAAATTTCCAGGTTAACCTTACTAGCGTCACCATTTTTGACATATTTAAATAATGTACAGTTTCTAACTCCATAGGGAATAATATTTTATCGATAAAGTAAAAAAACAATACTGATTTTGCTTAATTTTTGAAAATCTGCATTCTTTTTCATTATGTTCAAATTTTATTTGTTTAAATAATATCTGCTAAACTAACACGCATTAAATATAAATCTAATTTTTATTTTTTGCTAAAAATGTTGATCAATGTACGAGGTTTACAAGCCAAAATACGAGATTTTTTGTTGTCTATGTAAAAGAAAAAACGTTCTAAGCTACTGGCAACCCTAAATTAACGTTGAAAGTTGCTGTCACTGTCAAGCAAATGGCATTCATAATTCATTCAATTGACAACAACAAAAACAAATAGAGAAAATTATATGGTGCTGTTACAATTCCAGTTGTAATTATAAAAATTACAAAAGTAAATGCAATAAAAATGTACTGAGCTCTATATCAAGATATTGTGTTCCATTTTTGGAATACGTAAGTATAAAGTTTAATATAAAATTAGTTTTTTCAGTCACATGTGATTTCTTGTAAATCTTCCTTATTTTTATATCTCAGTATTTGAGCACTGAAAAACTGAGAAATTCATGGGTTGTATATTTAGTGATAAGAACTACAGTGATAAAGTGTATTATATCCTTGTTTAAATAACTTCGACGTTTTAATTGTATGAAACTAACCTCAAAAAGTGTAAACAAATGCATGCTGGAAGTTGATAGGTTAGAACTTAGAACACTTTAAAGTATTGACTGGATTATACTCACTTAGTGTTATTAAACTACGATACAATCAAATATGGCCAGGAACAATTTCAAAACCTCGTATCAATATTTTATAAATTTTTAGGTTATTTACCATGGTATGTTTTTGGAATGCGGTAATAATTTACCAATAATTTGCGACTTTTGTAATAAAATATGTGTTTAAATATTATACACTCCAAAATTATGTAGAATTCATCGCAATGAAAATAATTTCTAGATGCAATACATTTTTTACTCAATGTTTGAATTTATTTGTGACCATGTTCGTAGCAATGGTCTAAAAATTTGGTGAGTAATGAATGGCTTAGTGTAGGTAACACTAATTTAACCAATTTTTAGTCTGCAGTAGAGTTCTAAGATTATCTTTCAATTTTGGATTGAAAAAATTCTTTATATGGTGATTGGACCCCATGGTTTAGTTATACAATGGAACTTGGCCGTGGACATCTGAGGTTGTGAAATTGTAGACTTTTATTACTTAAATAAAGTAAAGACTTCAGAAAAAGAAAGAGAAGGAAAAGAAAAAGAAGGTTAACATTTCAATATGTATGCATGTTATGTTATTGAAACTGTAACATAATAATCTATTAGGGATTTCAAACAGAGCTATGCTATGCTATTTGTCACATTGGGCTGTTTCGTGGGTGTGAGATACCACAGCTTCATAAATGTCTTTTCTCAACAATCAAAGTCTCTCCATGCCAAATTTCATTAAAATCGGTTCAGCGGTTATTGATTTCCCATACAAACTTCCACCCCCCCTTTTACCCTCTTTAAGGGTGATTTCTGGGATAAGAACTATCCTATGTCCTTTCCCGGGAGTCAAAACTATCTCTATACCAAATGTCATCTAAATCGGTTCAGCGGTTTGTTACTTTCACATTTATAATATTACTATGGATGATTGACAAATTAGAGATTCTTTAAAATGTTAAACATTACTAACCATTTTATTTCAATTACAGATTGCTCTAAAAACTGTCCAGTACATATTATAAAACAGGATGGAAGTCATAATGGAACCAACACCATCCATCATCAGAAAACGCAAAACGAAAACCAAAACGTCAATCTTAAACAATATGAAAATGGACAGCTCAGAAGTAATACCAACTCCTAACATTCCAGTCAGTCCAAAACCCATTAAGAAAGTCAAGAGAGAAGAAGATGCTATTGAATTGGGTATAAGATATCCAATTTTAAAAAACGAGTTACTGGTGCAGAGATTCTTGAAAGTACCAATGACAAATAATCAGAAAGGTAAGCAAATTAATAATAATAATATGAATAAAAATGTTTATTTAATCTCCACAAATTACATTTAGTTTTATATTTAACAGTTGACAGGAAAACTGTCAAGAAATTTGCAATTTGTGGTAGATCTGGAGTCTAAACTAAGCGAGGCCTGTACTATAGATCTCCAGGCCATTATCCTAGAGAGTGTGAATGAGTAAACAGTAAAAAGATTTATTATATTAAAAATATATATACGAATGGTTGCGCTGTGAGTGTGTGTGTATGTGTGCGGTTATGGGCGTCTGGTGTGTGGGTGTGTAGTGTGTGTGTGTGTGTAGTGTGTGTGCGAGGTTGGTTAGGACATGTATTTTTTTTATAGAATATCAATTTTGCTTAAATTTTCGTCCGTTTTATGTTTTTTTTGTAATTATTATTTAGCATTAATCTGACCCATGTTCACTGCAGGCAAAACACGTAGTGTGTGTTTAAAAAAAAACTGGGCTAAAGACAGATATTTTATATCATATACATTTAATTTTTTCTCTACAAATGCTGCAACAAACACATTATGTTTGTAGCCATAGTTGTGGATAGAAATATATCCAAATGTTTTAGTAGCACTGGGAAAAGATTTTATAAACACAGACAGTGTGTACCGCATATTTCTGCAAGAAAGGTATATTGTAACACAACTGGGTATGTGCCTCCATTCTATAGACAACCACCAGTAAGGATTCCATAAGAGTCATTGCATGTTGTGTTGCAGTCCTGGTAATACAAGGGTTCATAGGCACCTGTAAGGGGCGTCCATTAATTACGTGAGGCGTTTTCGGCGATTTTCTGACCCCCCTTCCCGTTGGTGATATGTCGTGATATTTAATTCAACCCCCTCCCAATTCCCCCGATTGAGATTATCAAAAACGTGTTTAATGTAAAGGTTGGCGGTGGCGCGTAAACAAACGACAGGCTATTGTGCAACTTCACCGCACTCGCAATACCGTGATAAATATTATTGTATAAGACTTGGCCATATTGCAGTGGAGGAATATGTTGTATGTGTTATGGGTGAGCAAAGAATCACCTACTTGCTCATCATTTGTTATTAATTTCCCTGTTATTAATTAATTATGACAAGTCTTCCCAGGAAGTCAATTTTAATTATCAAAGTAATGTAATAAAAGAGAAAGTTTGTGAGTGTGTCTTTGTTACTTCTTTACACATGTAAAGAAGTAAGAAACACACACAGAAGTAACATACACTGCACAGCTAATATATAAATGAAACTGTATGTATTTATAGTTAAGGTGATAATACTATAATTTGACATCTTCGAGCTAATGAAAAAAGTTAATGTTTTTTTTTAATTTTCAGGTCGCATCCGTCAAGCGATAAAAGAGTCTCTTCAAGGTTCAAGCAATGCAATAGTACCAGATATAGTCCACGGCAAGATACAAGCAATACTAAAAAATAATAATGTTCTAACAGACTCTCATCTCAGACGCATCCGTATACTGTACAACCTTCTAACAAACGCACTGAGAGGTGAAAAGATTATTGATGAACCACCACATAGATCATCATCCACTCTAAAAGCACCCTCGACGATAAAAGCCCCATCAACATTAAAAATGACATCACCCAAAGCACTGCGAACATCAAAATCACCACCAGTTCTAGAAACAATAAAAGAAAAGCCGCAAAGAAAACTCGAAAAGAGAACTAATGAAAGTCCAGATAAAGAGAAACCAGTTGAAAAAAAGAAAAAGGATCAGCTTGTGAAGAAAGTTCGAGGTCCAAAGAGATATGTTGTGTTTTTGGGTAATCTGCCGCTCGATATCAATAAGGATAAGGCAAGTTTACATTCTACAAAAAGTAAAATTAAAGGTTGGGGCAGACACCCAGTGTTTCGGGACAGGTGAAATGTACTAGCACTAAGTGCTGAGCGCGACTGTGTGACATCTTCAATATCAATAAGTATATTACTACCTCCTTATGCCGAGTCGTGATTCCTCCCCGCCCCTTGTCTGCCCTAGCCTTTATAAGTTTTAGAAACTGAAATTTACTGACAGACTCAATGCTATGGGTATAGTCCCATACACAAATGCCTGGCAATAAGAATCTTTGACCACAGTTGGATGACAGATATATTTATTTTTCCAGATAATGGCACACTTCTCGGAGATGAACGAACACATAAAAAGTATACGGATACCCAAGCCAAGGGAAGAAAAGAAGAGTGCCATAGCTTTTATGGAACTTACCAACGAAGCTAGCTATGAGGTGTGCACCTCTACACTTTTTTTTTCATCCCAGTTTGTAACAATAGCCTTTAGAGACTAAAACAATTATGTTTTTCAGTTTGCACTATCTAAGCATCATTCAATGCTTGGCAGGAAAAGGATAAATGTTTTGTACACTGCACAGAAACATGGAAGAGTGACAGTAGCCGATGCTAAGGTAGAGTTTTTTTTTTATCAGTGTTGCCAATTCTCAAATCTGTTTTCCTCTTATAAGCACTTTGAAAACCTCCACATATTTTGCTGCATGTTTTAATACTGATTTCCGTTCGTTATGTTTCTCAGCGGACTCTGTTCTGAGCCGTTAGGGTCTTATAACTGAGGGCGAAGGTAAGGAACTAAAAAAAATTTCTATTATCAGAGGCATTTCTTTAATCTAGAACCGAATGACTTGACTTGACCTTGACTGCATGGATGGCGTAGTGGTTGAAGCGGTCACCACGCCGCTTACTATTACGCTGAGTGCTGTGGGTTGGATCCCCACATGGGACGACACTGTGTGATGCACAAATTGTTGTTCTGAGTCTGGGTGTTCTTTGTGTCCATTTCATGTATGTTTGTAAAGTCCCCTGCGACACAGGATGTATTTCTAATCTGGGAGTTCTCTTCTATAAAAAAACAAAACAAAACCAAGTATTCATTAAGAGCGCTGTAGTATATTTAAACTACTACTATTGATTTGAATCTGATTGACTTAATAGTTTTGGTAGGAAGATTTGATGGGTCTGTAATACTTTCTGAGAGGGGGAAGGGTTTGGTAACAAAGCAAAAGGGCAGCAATACAATGACTTGAGTTCCAGGAGTCTATGTACGGTGGTAGTCACTCCCCATCAGGTGACATGTCTGCTCGATTCTCCCTGTGCCATTAAAAATATCTTGCCTTATTCCCCATAGCCTGTTTAAGTTAAAAAACCACTCATAAGGCTTGTGTTACGGGGATTTGAGATTGATTTAATGAATATCAACTGCCATGAACATGGAGGAATGTAGCGATTAACCAGCTACCTACTAGAATAAAATTTTGTATCTCCCTGAGAACACACCATATGGATAAAACAGTATAACCGAAAAAATAATTTCACAGAGCAAATCAGCAAAATTAATAGCACTGCAGAGGTCGGGCAAGTTGGTCGGCAGTACAGCGCTTGTTAAGAAAAGGAGTCAGCGACGTCTCAAGAAGAAACTGGCGCAAGCTAAGGAAGCACAAGACACATGACACCGTTCAGTTATTAAGGCACACATACACACACTACCGTTTTTATATACCTCCAATGATGGGTAACCATTTTATAAATATTTTCTTTTATTTAAGTTTGCCATTGAGCTGTTTTGTTTTTACCTTTTTATATAAAAGGTGTGCCTACATGTTTGTAGAAAAAGTATTTATCTGTGGATTAGAATTATATCTGTTAACACTCTGGCAAGGATTTTTTTAATAAAGTTTTTTAATATTAGTTACGGTTATTGTTGCATTTAAAAACAATGTTATTAATCTATTTAGCAAATAATTTATCATTATATATTATTGAACATTTTATTAGAGCTAATTGTTAAACTTAACGGAAAAGTTCCTGATCCTGTGTTTTACTGTTTCGGGAAACATCAACAGTTTTGGACCGGACAGGGGTCCTTTATCAAATAACGACTTGTGTTAGATTTTACCGAAGTTATATCAATCAATCTATCTATCAATCTTTCCCGAAACAAATACATGAGTACAAACCGTATTTATTTAATATTAAAATGTTATTCTAACTCTTAACTAATGGATGTCATGTACTGATTTGTATTTTAAATGTTATTAAAGTGTATGATAAACATAGCAGGCAATGTATAAAATTGCCACAATTGATGTTGATAATAGGACTTGTGGGAGACATCCTCAAACCAACACTCCACAGGAGTTTTCCCTGGTGCGGTGTGTAGGAATCAAACCGATTATAACCACACGGTGTATCATACTGTGCCTTAAATTGGAGGGATCCGTAATGTACTTTTATTTCATCCGGGCCCCTTTCAGTGTGCGCCCACAAAAGCGCATGCACCATCTTCAGGTAACTCTGATTAAGGCGACAATCAGGCACACGCGGACGTCGTCTCCTCGGGGGTGGCCACAATGGAGGCGTAATTACTAACTTATCTTAATCTTCCCTCATAGCGCTGATATTATTCACATATTACTTGCATTGAACTAACTTCGATATTATAAAAATCTTAAATTGTACACAATCTAAAGTTAGAGATGACATTTATTTTATCTTACTAATGCTTTAAAAAAATCGTTGTGTATGTGTGCCCTTAATATAAATATGTTACATTTCTTATGTGTTTTATTGTAACCAAACCTTTGAAAAACATTTCAGTATTTGAAGGGTCAATAGACAGAAAAACATCAATATATTTATTCCTTCTCAATCTCTCGGCAATTATTGGGTAGGTATTTAGCCATTTTGTTTTACTATTCGGTATTCGGCCTTAAAGATTTACAGTTTATGTAACAATACTAACGATCGATAATAAATAACGTCTGTCCTGACTATCCAATCACAGCGCGCCCACGTCGTGGTCATCGTAAATACTTTTAGTGATGCGGGTTTAAATCCGTCATCCTCGAAAGGTTGCTGAATATTCGGCCAAGAGCCTCGCCGAATATTCGGTGGCATCTCTAATTTAGAGTGCTAAACTGTCCTATAGTTAACACGAGAAGAAGAAAGAAAGAAAGAAAACATATTTTATTTCTAAAACACACGACATTTTTTTTATAAAAACATACAGTTTCAAATGTGCCAGCCATGTCACATGTGTGTGTTTATTACAATCACAAACTACTTTTGTTGCAATTAATCTATTATGTTAATGAGAGATGCCTCATGTATCAGAAATTTGGATGGACACTCAGAATACACTGAAATGGGTATAACCCACCCCAGTACTAATTTTCAGTGCCAACCAACGAGTGTCACTTGACCTCGTCGGCGACATTACCTACCCGATTATTTTCTTATCAAATAAAAACACAAACTCAATGACAAAAACTAAACACATGTGTTACATGAAACAGTCTGTGGAGCAAAACATCATGGTAAGTTTTAATTAATATTATCACTATTTTTACGGTTTTTATTATATTTTTCAAGTTAAAGCTTGAACATGTCTGCTAATCCACCATCTACTACCTAGTTCTTATGTGCTATAAGAAAACTAATCAAAAAATCAAAATCAATCAACCATAGGTACTTATTAATAATTTATTATTTGTTTCAGATTCCCAATGTGAAATGTAACCATAATGCTTCGCATGTTTGTCAAACTTGGAGTCAATTATTGCTCAAAGGGATTACATTTTCTCTATAAAAGTATATAACATGCGTATAATTAATAATATTATTTTCATAACTGACGCTTTATCATTTTTGATATGCTCAAAACAATAGGGTTCGAGCCTCAATAGAAAAAAAACAAATTGATCATTATGCACATATATTCGTTACAATAATAGTATTTAATAATGTAATATAATAATAATAATCTCTTACACAACTATTAAAGCTGGTACATATTTCATTGGTTTCACCGCAACGCTAATATGATTTGAAATAATAACAATAATATAAAATGATTTAATAATTAATTGGATAATAATAAACGCTTGTATAAACTAAAACTAAAGAATACCAAAGCACTTTGTTTCAAATCATGTCTAAAATGTCAAACTTAACTAGAGCCCATAGACAATAATTAACAGCAGCAAACTTTTTTATATATTTATTTTTGCCTCTAACTGATCTACCTACCAAAGATCTATGATATTTCCCCATTCCCCTGTGATAAATTAAAATATTAAGTAAAACAGTATCTATTATAAAAGTAATATACACATTACAGGTCATTTAAATTGCAATTATAATATTTTTTCAAATCGATCTAGGTTAAGGAATACCGTTATAATGGTACAGAACAAGTTCTTCTATGGAGACATCATTATTTTTACAACTATTTTAGGATTAGAAATAGTTTAACAAATAGGGAACTACAGATCGTAGTAGTGTCAGGTATGCAGTAAAGTGATAGACGACAAATACCGGTATTTTAATAGCCGGTATTTAACATTTGTTACAAAAATAACTAATTCTGTGATTGACTTGCGTAAAGTAAAACCCTATTCCCATAAACACTTGAAATCGAAAATGTAAATTATGAGTGATTTGAACAGTATAATATAATTAGAATATGTTGTATATTTGAACTATGCAGTTAAGCCTCTTAACGTATCTGTTATCATAATTCATATTGAATTCATATATGTATAAATTATATATATTTAAATAAATTGATTTTTAATATTGTTGCTTCCTAAAATAAAAAAATGAGCCAAAATTATGCGTCGTATTACAAAAAAATATTAAAAATCAAAAATTTATTAACTTATACTCACAAAACAATGCAATAGTTTTTAATTTAAAAAGGATGACGGGTGTGCGCTTGAAGTATGCACAAATATATTCGGACGAAAAGGGGGATCTTTATCAAGAGATAAAGAGAACTTTCGCATCGCATCGCACTATTTGTTCATTGTAAACATAAACAATAAAAAAACTAAAATTAATAATAATCTTTATTTTGAAAGTGATAACAAACGAATTTACAAAAATAAATTCGATAGTGACTTACTAACTGTGGCGCAGTCACTAACGCCCACATCCACGGGAGACATCGAAATTAGTTCCAGCAATTGCTAAATGATCTAAGCATCAATTCTGCTATTTTATGTTCACGCCAAGCCACTGTCATACCACTGACACGCTATTGAGATGCCATCGAGTGGCCATTGGCAAAATATAATATATTTTCAAATTATAAGAAAATGATTTATTTATTTTTCCAAATATGGCAATATTTTTGATATCACCACTGATGAGCCACTGCCATTCCATCGCCACTGTAAAGACACCAAGTTAGTGTAGACTACCGATATTTATACCGATGCCAATGGCCTCTCGATCGCATCTCAATAGCGTGTCAGTGGTCTGACAGTGGCTTGACGTGAACATAAATAGCACAATTGAGGCCCAGGGCCGTTCGATGGTTGTTCATTGACTGATGATATCACATTATTTAGCACGCAGCTCAGCTGCAGTGCTTAAAGTCACGTGCGTAAAGTAAAGCACTGTATTACATATCATATAAATCATTGAAATACCGGTATTTATAACGCCTTTGTAATGTGCCGATTTAAGTTTAAATTGACTTCATTGAATTTTTTATATTGCAGTTTTTAGTAATTTAATTTATTTAATTTACGGCCAAGATATCACTCAGTCTAATAATAAATTATTACTTAGGTCTGCATATAATATAAAATTTAGCAAAGTAGAAATGTATAAACTTGTTTATACTGAGTAGGCGCTCGTTGGGGTAGGCCTTCGTGAAGCAGTGGACGGCAATAGGATGTACTATGTATACTGATTATATAATATTAGATCTTATCTGTTAGGCTTTCTTTTTAAATAAACACAGCTATACAGTAGATTGGTCAACTGGCAAAGAATGCCTTAGGCATTAAGTCCGCCGATGCAAATAGTTGTGCATAAAGTTATAAAAAAAAATAGAAAAATTTATATATTAATAAAATTGCATTGTATTGCAAATTGTGATATATTTTGTAACAAAAACAGATTTTGCTTAAATATCAATTCAGGATTTGAAGCGTATTTAAAAAAACAACAATATTTGTTTACAGTGCATAGCAAACTTAAAATATAAGCTTTTATGGAATGTATCTTTTTTAACCGTAACCTGTTTTCGTAAAAATTAATCATTAATATATTAAGTGCTTTGCTTCAAATCCTTAAAAAATACAAACACAGACAACAAACTAACTATAACTAACTATAAACAACTTGGATGGGCAACATAGTGATGGGACGCTTCAAAATAATAACGTTATTGATTTGTAACGTTTTTATAAGTTATTATTAAAATATCATGAATAACAAAAGTTGGAAGTTTCGAAGGTGAAGTTGTACTGATATCAGGTGTGTATGGAGATCAATTATTTTCGATATGATATTTTTTTTCTCTATTAGTTGCATCCACACTATTTCATGACAATTTATCGAATAGAACTAGAGTTTATCCTCTTCAAAGCCAAAAACTATAAGTTGTTAATTCAAAATATCATCTAGTAATCAAAAATGAAAATAGCGATAGTAAATTTGATAAGGGTTTATAACAGAGATCTAATTTAGGTAATGAATTAGTGAAACCTTAGTGCGAGTGTTAAAAAGTGCTATGTAAGAATCACTGATGGGTATTATGTTTTCAAAGTTTTTAGGTTTTTATTGAAAACGAAAAGCAGCGATAAAATTATTTTGTAACTTGATAACATAGCAGACAGTATTACTAATTACAGGTTTTCCTGGTTAAGTGAAAACTGTACATCCAGCATGCAAACGAGAACATGATAAGTCGACATGGTATAATACTTAATAATAAATAAGCCTAAATGAAGTAAAACTTCTTGGCTATTAGGGAAAGAGAGAAAGAAAATGTGTGCTCGCACCTCTCTCTCTTGCTCTCTCCTCCAGTAATATACGAAACGTAACTCTCTTTTTTTCTATCTTCACAAACTTATCTCTCCCTCTCAACTTCCGTTCGCCTCGCCCGATCACACTTTTCGCAACGCTCTCGTCACGCATTCACCAGCTTACTACCCAAGTCAGGCGTGCGTAAAGAAGTTTTACTTCAAAAATTAAGTTACATAATCTATTTATCTTCAGACGTTCGTTTATCTCGAAGCAATCCCACATCAATATATGCCTCAAAAAAGTAACATTTGAAACGCTTATATTAATAATATGCTACACATTAATATTACAAGCACCAACACAGACACGGACAGACAGTTGATAACCAATGAATTACATCTATTTTAATAAATTAACAAATAAATGACATATTTACATTTCATGTGCTTACAATATGGTGTATGATATTTGTGCAATTGTGACGTCACACTACTCCTATCAAAACCGTTTTGCGTTACGTTGCTTACGCTTTCAAATATATGCAACCCTATTTATTTGTAATAAATATGTATTTCGATTGAGCGTCCAGAACAATTATTAATCATGTTTCCAATTATTTATGACCTGACATTTCAAAGCTGATATTCCAGAACGTCATAAACAAGCAACAGACGCTATTCGATGGTTTCGAAGAGGCAAAAATGACCAGTGACGTCACAAACCACTAAATAGTGCTGGTCATTTAATATTTAAATCAACTGTGTACTATCACTAAATTAATCTATCGGTGTCCTATAAATGGATTTTAAAACGTCTATAGAAAAATATTTACAAAAAAACACTGGCGTAGGAATTTAGGACGTATTCTATAACATTCTTGGCACGATATTGATATATTTTTAATTTTTTTGTTATTTTAATTCTTTAAATATTTATTTTTATTTTTTTAATAATTTCCAAATAAAATTTAAATAAAATGCTAACATTACTGCACCCTATTAATTGATGATGAAATACCGAAATTTGATTCTATTTGATACAAACTCACTGTAGTGCAGTAAAAAAAAAAACAATCCAAAAACCGTAGCCGCATAAAATGTGTAACATCTGACTTGTGTAACATCTCATCTAACGTCTGCCGGTCAACTCTGGCATCGCGCGTGCTCTCTGGTCCGGCCTCACCAGCTTCCTGTTAAACATTTCCGTCCCTTTTTTACGTAAGAACTCCCACAGATTGCAGGAAAGCTACAGAAAATATTAAAATAGTTAATGCCATAAATATGAAGAAGCATTTACATTTTTACGACACATTTACATTTAACACGACATTTTCCATTTAAAATGAATAATTTGTTACATCAGTACACCGTGTGACGCTTAGAAGCCTTAAAATATTACACCTTAAATTAATACAACACATTGATAATGTCTTAAATATTTTTTCAACATTTTACAACAATAAATTTAACATTTTATAACAAACACAATTTGATTACAACTAATAATTTAATTACATTTAATACGAATAAAGTATATTTAAATTAATAATAGGACGTTTAATAAAATGCACAACAATATTTTATTATAAATGAAACTTTTATCGGTTGTCATTCGAACTTAAACTAAAATAAATTTATTTATTACTTTTTTTTTTAAATAATTTAAAGTGTACTTAAGATTTATTTGTAATTTATACACAAATGTTATTTTTTATCGTTCACTTATGTTTTTAGTTGTCAATAATTCATTATTGAACTCGTAATGAAATTTTTCCATCTTTTTCCTTTAAGTTCTTTAATGTCACTTATCAGTTGTATAATAAAATGTACACATAAAAATGAGTTTATTCATTGAGTTCATATATTTGAATTAGTTTTGTGTCTTGGCCATTTTAGTTTATTATTTTTTAATATATATATCTATAATAAATTGAAAAATGTTCCCCTAAATTTGAACTTCTAAAGTCTGTTGATATATGTTGACTTTTCCTTAATTCGGTTAAAAAAAAAAAAAATTTGAATAGGCAGCTTACAAGCATAATTTATTATTAAAAAATTAAGATTGATCATAATTTTTCCAAAATAAATAAAGCTTTATAATGAAAAAGCTTTTCAAGTTTTATTAATTTTGAATAAAATAATATTTTGATTTATTTATATTTAAAATTTATTGAGAATAAATGTAGATATTTTAATACGTTTCTATATAAATATAACTATGAGTGTATAATTTATATCTAATTTACCAAAAATGGACGTCAGGGTTTCCGCAAGAGCATTTTTAACAGGGATCAGAATTCTATTGGAAAATAAGAAGTGTGTGTATTAGTTTAAGCAGAATTAGGAGAAGACAGAAGAAAATGAGTCGCGTGACGGCTTTTGTAGAAAATTATTAAATTTGAAGGTGCTAGAAAGGGCAGTTTTAATTTTATACATGTCTTGACAATAGATATAATTATATAAATTTCAAGTACAACCCAATTATATTATTCGGTTAGCCGACTATTATATTCGGTTAACCGAATGCATTGTCCGCTAACTAGGTTTTTTATGGTCTTTTCTTTCACTTATAAGTATTGTTCATAAGTTATTTATTTTTAAATCGACTAATTGATCAATCAATTTATTTTAATTATCGTATTCAGATACATATCAATTTATATTATAGTAGTTTACACTTTATAATATGACTTATTTTTACATACCATACCTACTCTAGGTGCGGTATGTAAAAATAAGTATTTAAAAAATGTAAATAATGTATTTCATGTTTTTGTTTTCATGTTTATAAATATATACACAAATAGAGATCGCATTTTCGATGTTTGATAAATCAGTAAGATTAAAATCAATTGATTGATAAATCTGTAAGATTAAAATCAATTGATTGATAAATCTGTAAGATTCATGTAGGTACGTTGATTGATAAATCTATAAAATTTGACAGATGTTCGTTGTTAACAGTGGGTAAAAAGTTTGAAGAATCCTCTTCCTTTCTCTGGGGCTGGTCCCATTAGCATTGGTACTTGATTCTTGTGGGTTATAGTAATCTGTAAAGAAATGTGTACTCTTAATTTTTCTTTTAATGTGTAATGATAGAACTAAAATTGTCTTCATAATTCGTTAGTATTTTTCTAAACTCAGTAAGTGCGTTTGGAGGCGTGGCCTCGGCCGGGGCCGTGGAAGAGTTATGCTACGACACAAATGGGTCGGTTCGACCGGAGTGATTACCCCGGCGTCACAAATCGGATCAGAAATATTCTGGCAATCGACTAACAAAATATATTAAAACTAGGTTCCCGCGTGCTACCGCAGCAGTTAGCGTATTTTTTTTTTAATAAGAATTAACTGGATCTAGTATGGCGGCATTAATAAGTTGACAGTGACGTACCTTACAAGGTGGCTGCATCCAGGGCTCTCCGTCAATTTGCATGGGGAATGTCTTCTTTGTTGTAATAGTAATGGAGCTGCATTGTGCTAACCGACGACCTGAAGCGCGAAGACCTAAACAATAACCAAAGAATATTATTAGTTTAGTACTTTTTTAAGTAGTATTTACTCCTGATACATACCAGGTATTCATAGTAAGTATACCAGAAATACTTGGTATTTGTAATTCAATGCTCCACAGGGGTGATACCACGGCCTCTCAGAAAACTGGTGTTAAGTATGTGGCGACTCCCATATACAAAGAAACAGAAACATACTATAGCGCTAATCCTATATCGCGATATGAAGAATTCTCTCGCCCATTAGCATATATATCACTTCCCAACATTAACCGTTGCGCCGCGGCACGCCAGGCATGATCACCTCGCCTGGTCGGAGGATACTCCCTTTGTTTTGGAGGGAAATGACCCGTTCTTCCATAGGTAATACTCTCGTTACTTTTCATAGAGTGACTGAGACTCAAATCATCCTCCCCCAAAATCTTGAGGAGGGGTACTGAAAGGGTGACAACGCACTTGTGTCTATTGAATTGAAGATGTTCATGTGCAGTAGTAGGCACTAACGACAACGGGGCCCGTCTGCTCCTTGGCTCCACAAAAAAACAGAGGGAAGCTTTAGAACAGGGATTCCTAAACTATTTTGGGCAAGAGACCCCATTTTCTAAAATGAACTGATACCTCAGATACGTTTCTTCGACCAAGCATAACAAACAAATTACATTTATAATAATACCTATGTCTACTCTCCTATCATCCTACCATGTTCAGAGTTATCTTTATTGTTCTAGCAGTGAAAACTTTTAATTGGCCTTCACCTATTAGTCTTATATCAATTGTAATTCTAGCTGTAAGTTTTCCTAAAATATAAAAATAAAACTACCCATAGCCAAATTATAATAATAATAAATAATAAAGTTTATTGTGTCAAATACTTAGTACATAGATAGTTGTGTTCAGAATTTTCTTTTAAGCAAGTAATGCTTGTAGTTGAAAATTCCTGCACGCTTATCCACTTGTTGAGTTTTTTCAAAGTACAACAATGATGCTTCCTACTAAATTATTATTCAGTATTATAACAAGTTGGTACACGTAACACAACTAATACGTATTGAAAGTTTCAAATAACAACTTGTGTTAGTTGATAGAGTTCGATTTTTAGACCTCGTCGACCCCCAAAAACCAGTTTCGGTTTATGGGGTCGATATCCACCACTTTGAGAATCCCTGCTTTAGAGCATGTAATTCCTGTGAGAGAATTTGAGGACGGACGTTTGTTGTTCAGGGAAATAGACGTTAATAGTACCTGTGCGCACTTGGCCCATGTGGAGACAATTCTCTAAGCCTATTACTTCAATTAGTTTATCGCCGATATCTGGAAACAAAAATATAATTATTTACAATATTTGTTTTTAAATAGATTAAAATAAAGACGCGAATAACCTTTGTTCAAATAAACTACGAAGCGAATAACACAACACATATCAAAACCTGGTCAATAACCATTAAAATATTGAGATCAACTCACCTTGCTGTGCGTTGGGAAACCTTCCCCTCCGATGTGCCCCACTTGAGCCCCACAGGTTAGACCCCCCGTGGGCATAGGGGATGTTCAGTAATGCTACACCTTGCAGAGATGGACCTTTATTTAGTTCTAAGGACGATCCGTCACACTGTAATTTTAAAAATAACCTCACGTTAAATAATAATAATAATCACACATATCTCACAAACTGCAGTCTAATTCCAAATTAGTCAGATCCTGTACTGTGGTAATCAGACTACTGATAAACATAAAATAATTACACCAAGACACAGAAAAAATGATCGTGCTTATTACACAATTACTTGTCCTGGCTGGGAATCAAACCCAAAACCTCCGGCTTAGCAGTCGGAGTCACTAACCACTCGACCAACAGGTCAGTCAAACCTTTGCAGACCAAAAGGGAATTACACCAGTAGCTGCAGCATCAGAACTTACCACAATATCGATATGTTCGTGAAGGTTCTTGCAGCTGGCCGCGAACTGTTCAGAAGTCGCAAACTCAAAGTACCACAATTTGTTCTTCATCCGGGAGCTGAACTTGTCAGGATTGCGTTCCCGTTCTGTATGGAATTTCACACAGATGGCTGCATCCTGGAAAAAGGGGAGATTTTTATGGAATAGCTGGCAAATAAGAAGACTAATCATCTGATGGAAAATGACTAACACCACTCATGGATACCTGCATACAACTAAAAAGACAAAAGAGCGTTGCCGCTCATTTAATGAGGATCGATTCAGATCACAGCATAATTTAATAGCAATAGTCATTAAAAACGACAAGGCATTCCATCAATGTATTAGATATATTTCGTTTATTAAGTAGTTCCTTTATGGAATGCATTGCCCGCTGTTATTGGATAAAATACTGTTAGTACTTTTACTTCAAAGTATTTCAACATGCGAGTACCTGGATTCGTAATCTTGTCACACTATTTCAAAAAAATACTTTGTTTCGTAATAAATATTTGAGTACATTTGATTCATCATCATCATCAACAGCCTTTAATATCTGCAGCACTGCTACACATAGGCCTATCCTTAGAAATGAGGTTTTGGCCTACTATACCAGGTTGGCCAGTTGGGTTGGTATAGTGTTTGTTTCAAGTTTTTCTTCTCTTTGCAGTGCTGTTGTCCTTCGTAGTTTGCTCCCTTAAGTCGGCTCTTACAACACCCACAGGTTGATAAGGGTGGTAACACTCCGTATTCTTAATCCGTCGCCACACGGATACTTGATTTTATGTACATTTGATTATTAGATCCTATTCTTTTTGAGGTGTTTGAGGATTTACATTGTGATTTCCAGCAATCTGTGGAAGTAATTACGTGAACAGGGACGGAAGAGTGTAACAGCAAGCCGAAGAACCGCGCGCTATTTGATTTGCCAAATGACCGCGTGCGGCGCCAGAGTCGGCCGTCAAAACGTAGTTGACATGTCAGATGATAAAAAATCATGTCGGATTACTGCTGGGCTCGTTTTATTTATTTATTTCTTCTCCTTTCACATTTCTATTTATGAAATATACTCACAACACCGACAGAGAAGTAGTTGTTGATTATATTATATGGCACAGTGGTGGGATGAGGCGCAGCATCCAGCATCTCTTGAACAGTCTGTAATTAAAAAATACAATGAAACGAATGGTAGCGTAATAGTTGAAACGCCAGACTTGTGATCAAGAAGAAGTGAGTTCTGATTTTAATCCAAGTATAGTCCATTAATTGATCTAAGTCGAGTGCAATGGGACAGGCCTATATCCAGCAGTGGAATATAAGAATATACAAGAAAATAGTGACGCATCGAACAAGCCAATAGAACGACGACCAATCAGGTCGTACGAAACGATAATATCTTATCTCCTATTTTCTTAACGCGAATGAACTCGTAATGAATTAATCTTTAATAATAAAAATAATAATAATATGAATATGTACATAAATGTCTACCTCGTTGCTGTTGTTAGTGGAATTAGCATTGGAATTATTCTCTACGTGGATATGCCAGCGGTCCATCATGACGGTGCTGGCGCGGGCTATCTTGTCCAATATCTTGTGGATCGATTCACCTTCGTACCTGGAATAGTCGAAAAGACTAATAATGTCAGGAATCTGATCGAAGACGTCTCACTCAAACTAACTCACAATTTTCCTATTTTTTCCAAAAGCTTTTTTTATGATTCTGCCAATATATATGTGTAAAGCTGATACAGTGTAACAGGTTTTTTTTAAAGACAACTCTTGCATTAGGAATAAGTATATCCTGTGTCGCGGGGGACTTTACAAACATACATGAAACGGACACAAAGAACACCCAGACTCAGAACAACATTTTGTGGATCATACAAAATGTTGTCCCATGTGGGGATCAGACCCACAGCACTTAGGGTAGTAGTAAGCGACGTGGTGACCGCTCAAACCACTACGCCATCCTTGCAGTCATTATGCAGTGCGGTTATTATTTCATTTAATTCATGGAGACGATTGAATTGAAATAAAATCGAGATTGCTAGGAGTAGTGGAATTGACATTTTATTGATTACTTACCCGCCACCCCACCGTAGACACCTGGCCAGGTCATTTCCCGTGCCTAAGGGTATAACTCCCACAGCAGGCTGCGTTTCCATCTGGACTTTATCTAAAAATAACAGTTTATTATATCAATCAAAGAACAATATTATAAAGTTAAAGTTTTTTTTAATTGTTTGTCGATACGATAATCTTCGTACCTATCGATCAGATTTAGGATCACATTTATCAACCCGTCTGGCCAGCGTGGTACCCTAAAACGTCTTTTCTAAGTAGAGGCTAATGTCCAGCAGTGGATTACTAAAAGCTCTTGATAATTGATGATAATGATTTATTCAGGTATGGCGACTTTCACATGCAATAAAACAGAAACATACTGCAGCGCCATCTAACGAAGACACACCGAACTACAGAGTAACTGCTAATACTGCATCGTGCAATAAAGGTTCTCGCGGCGACTAGTATAAATATGTTATACGTTAGGCATGATCACCTCGGTCTACGAAAAATGAGATGTTTTCTTTAGAAATCACGTTACTACTTAATAATGTATTCTAACTTTTTATATAAATTTCAATGACTGAGTATTTTCATATGTGGAAATTCAGACATTATTTTATGGTATGCGGATCAGGTAGATCATGGTGGACCAGCGTCCATTGACACTTGCACGGAATGTACGGATACATTTCCGCCCTCTGTTACCAATAAATATATAGAAAGGTTTTTTCGCTCACCCATCGTCTCCAGCACCCAGCCCACAGTACCATCGCCTCCGCAACAAATCACTCGATAGTTTTTCACATCTTTGAACATTTGCAAACCTGAAATTAAGTTCGTACAAAATCGTGATGATTTTATTACAATTATGGTCAAAATATCTTCACGCTGTTACAAAGAATGTTTGCCATACTGCTGAAATGAGACTAAAAGATGCTACAATTTTTTATGTTGGATAACAATATTTTTAGTTCTAACCCTCTTCTTAAATCCCACTTTTTTACCTCAATTGCTGTGTACGTTTAAGATTTTTAATATGGGACTAATCCCTCCCACACGCCCACCACTATAACTCCTGTACACCAGGATCAACAGGTTGAAAAAAAGCAGAAAGCGAAAAAACCAAACCAAAACTTAACGCTCAGGCACAGTTCGTCTAATTCCGTTTTATCTATTCGAATTTTCATACAGCTCTGTTCGACGGAACAGTTTGAAAGAATCATAAAATTCCTACAGTTTTTATCATACACACATTTCGATTATGGGGCGGTACGGTCTACATGTGTGACACCCATTACACCCTGTAGAGTCATTAAAAAGAATGTTATTCTCACCTTGTGTTGGTCCACCCTTCGCAATATCATGCACTTGCCTAGGATTCAATATATACTGTAATTTCCTGAGCACCCTAGATCCTTGCCTCCCCCCAGACTTAGGGTTAATGAATACGAGAAGAGGACATGTGCCCTCAGATGGAGTGATCTGGAAAGAGATAGGAGGAGCGCGAGTCTCTCGTTTTTGGGATTCTTCTCTCTTCTCTTCTGATGTGGCGGCTATCGATATTGGGAGGGAGATTGAGGTGGGAAGAGATTGCTGTAACAAAATAAAATGCTTTAAGAATTATTGTATTTTGACACTACACTTGAACACTAAAGTTTGTGAGAATGGATGCTTAAATTTTTATTACAATCACGTCTGAATGGATTTGGGTAAAATTAATATTATAGAGCATAGAGATAATTTGGAATAGATTATACGCAACTTTTAATCAAGGAAAAATTGGTTTACAAAATCGATTTTAAATTAAGCGATGCATGTATTCGTATCTGTATTATCGGAAACCATTTATGTATAAAAAGAAAGAACGATATATCTGTGGGGAGGCGGGGCCAAACGAGCAGACGGATCTTCTGATGGTAAGTGACTACAAGCACAAGTATGGATACTTGCAACTCAAGAGTTTCCGTGTGGTGACGGATTAAGAATACAGAGTGTCACCACCCCTATTCATCCCGTGGGTGTCGTAAGAAGCGACTAAGGGACCGAAATACGCAGGACACCAGCACTGCAGAGAGAAGGAAAACTTGACACAAACCCTATACCAACCCGTCTGGCCAGCGTGGTATAGTAGGCCAAAACCTCCTTTCTAAGGAGAGGCCTATGTCTAGCAGTGGACTGTTAAAGGCTGTTGATGAACTCAAGAGTTACAGGTGCGTTGTCATCCTGTGAGTGCTCCTATCCAGAATTAGATAGGAGAGATTTGATTTCCGGTAACCTCACTCACTCAGTAAAGAAAAAATTGAAAATGTTGTGTCAGAAGTTAAGAAAGAATAGTTTTTTGGTTTTCTGTGATCACTCCCGTCGAACTGGTCTATTCTTGCTGAAGCATGACTCTCCCACAGTAGTATCTATGTATACTGTCTGTCTGTTACATCATGAAATTTGGTATAGAGATAGTTTGAGTCCCGGGAAAGGACATAGGGTACTTTTTATCCCAGAAATCATCCTTTAAGTGGGTGAAAAGGGGGGGTGGAAGTGGGGAATCAATAATCGCGGAACCGATTTAGATAAAATTTGACATGGAGATAGTTTGATCCTGTATACCGCGAGATTAAATATCGTTTAAGAAGTTGTACATGCCTGGTCATGCGGGGGCCGATGTGGCAGGCTCCTCTGGCGGTCGAGCACGAGCGGGCGGATGGCGGTGGGCGGCAGGATGTGCCGCGCGTGGCGCCCCAGCGAGCACGCGCCGCCCGCGCCGCTCACGCACCGGTTGTGTAACTGGAACGTTATATACCTCACACATCTCACACGCGCCCGTCTGATCCCAAACTAGGCAGAGCCTGTACTATGGTGACCAGACTGCTAAAAAACATACTTATATATTTTTAAATACATATATATTATAGATAAATTACACCCAGACACAGAACAAGTGACCATGCTCATCACACAATATTTGTCCTGGGTGGGAATCGAACCCACGACCTCCGGTTTAGCAGTCAGGGTCACTAACCACTAGACCAACAGGCCCGTCAAATAATAAACTGAATCAAACTAAACTAAATTACTAACAAAACTAAACTAAATCAAATAATAAAACCCGTCAAACAATATAAACATCACTACACTGGTCCGTTTTATGTATGTCTGGAAAGTCCCCCAAGACACAGGATATGTTCCTAGTGCGGGAGACGTCTTAAAAAAAGTAATCCTGACTGCTAAACAAGAGGTCGTAGGTTCGATTCCCACGTTCGACAAATATTGTGTGATGATCATTTGTTCTTGTGTCTGCGTGTAATTTATCTATAATATGATGATGTATTTAGAAATATATAAATATATATAAATATTTGCGCTGTTGATGCATAAGTGGGATTATTATCAGAAAAATGTGGACTTTTAATACCTCAATGTACCCTTTGATGTGATCGGCCCTTTACCCCATCCTCTACCTACCGTAACTTTTAATCTGTCACCAGAGGTGCCTACTCTCTGGCGGTCAGTCGACGTCTGAAACGTCTAATACTTGTAACACAAATTGGGATTAAGAATACATTGTCACTACCCCTATTCATCCCTTGACTATGCCGTAAACTTCGCAGAATAAAAGCACTGCACAGAGAAGGAAAACTTGAAATAAACTATATACCAACCGATTTGGTCAGCGTGATATAATAGTTCAAAACCTCCTTTTTAAGGAGAGGCCCAAGACCAGCTGTTGATGAAGATGTTGAACTGGCTGTTGAGAGGTCCAAAATCTTTCAAATTTCTAGCTTCTATTAAAGTACTTATATAGATATAATCCTCACCGTGATATGACACCATCGACAGTGCAGTCCAGTGATCCCGTTGTACCCTTTGATCTTTTTCCGACACCTAGCGCATTTGCCGTGGCAGTTCCCTAAAAATGTACAAAATCCTTTGAGAAGGGACGCTCACAGACAAGATAAGTAGATAATACTTTTTCAAAATAAGTAAAAAAAGCAAATTTAAACGATTTATTATTCGCATATCTGAGGGCCAAGTGCGAGTTTATTTCACTTCTACTCGATCGTCACGGTGACCGCGTTCGGCGCTGTGATTGGCCCGCACTGAAATCTGCACCAATCACAACGCCAAACGTGATGATGTGAAATAAACTCGCACTTGGGCCTCTGAGCCGAATCTAATGACACGCCATAATATGTTGAAATTATTAATAGGTTATGTTTCCAAAACAAAGGAGGCGAGATGATCATGCTTGCCGGGATGTGGCTCAACAGTTAATGATAGGACGTTGTATATAAGTATATGCTAATCAGCGTGAAAACCTTTTATATCGCGATACAGGAATAGCAGTGACTCCGTTATTCTGTGTGTCTTCGTTAGATGGCGCTGAACTATGTTTTCGTTTCAATGTGGAAGTAACCACACGACCAAGGTTACAGTGTTCCTCCGACAAAAGAAGTAATAACATATTCGCTAGGGCTAAAAAAAAGACGTGTGGCACTCGGGGACTGCCGCGGTGAAGCTATTGCATAGCACTTTTTATCAACTTATGCAATTATAATTATTTATTTATTTTTCGTTAATAAATGCACTTTGTTTATTCATATTTAAAACACTTTGTACACAAATTATACGAGTACAGATATTCACTGTTGTACATAGATGATATATACCTATACACCTATATAATTTCTCCGTCCGATTTCGGAGCAGCTCGTCTCGATTCGTGCGAGCTTCGTAGAGTCGTACCATGAAGTAAATACAAAGAGGAGGTGCCCTAACGCCGAAACTCTAAGCAGGCATGAGTCACCAGATTGCGGGGCGAAGAGGGGATTACGCATGCGCAGTAACGCCGATACAACCAATGCCACCTAGAGGCGAGTTGCTAAACTAAAGAGACAAGCGTGATATTTCAAAAAAGTCATTAAAAGTTGTGCTATTCATCGTTAGGTTATTTTCGTTACGGAATTTCTGGATTCGGTCTCCACGCTCAAGGCCCGCGATAGAAGCTATGCAATAGCTTAAAAGTAATTTTAACAAGAGCGAAACCGCAGGCATTAAGGTAGTTCATAAAATAATATTCTAACTTTTATGCAGGCATTTCTTGTTTTGCAGCGCCTGTGTATCAATTATATTAACTGGATCTTCTCTTCCTTCTGTTACTACTACATACCTTCAACCCAATGATGAGCGAGTGTGGCGGGAGCTCTCTTCGATTTTGAGTAGGTGGCGATGCAAGATGCAGGTGCCCGCTGCACGCACCGCTCGTGGACGGTGAATTTACAGACTATGAAATGAATATTTTACTTTGTATAATTTAAATGTTGTTAAAATAATAAGCTATTGTTTGAAATTACGCAAAATCATTTCAAACCGACTTCAAAAAATCAGTATTTTTTTTGTTACTTTAGAAGTCTATATAGACAATTGATACTGACTCTTTTTAGTGTACATAGCGGTGTGACGTAATAACGTAGCGGCTCATGGCTCATAACTAAAGCTAACATTTTCCGACTTTTTGACCAAACTATTTGCATAACTATACATTTTCAGATTATTTCTTCTAGAGCGAAAGTCGTGGGGAGGGCTTGTTGCTAAGTGGTAATCAAGTAGGCTAACATATTGCAAAGAAAAGCAATCCTAGCCAGGTCAGTCTATGGATGAATGACTATTCTCTAACACAGTGGGACCCCTACGTGCCTCGGAGTACTCTCCGTTAAGCAGTTGGTCTCGGTTGCCACACCAACATCTGTGGTAATCGTTACGGGTAGTTGGAGCCCTTATGAAAGTCCAACAACAGTCTTTCTACAGAGCTTCGATATCCAGCACCATCTAGTGGGGGGCAAACCGTGGCAACCCGCTCCGGTCGGCAGATTCAGGGGCCGCCAAAATCATAATATAGTATGATTAAAAAAAAAAACTTGCTCCACAAAGCCTGCCACGGAAGCCTGGTGGGCTCACCGTCGACAGGTAAGAAAAAAGTGTCAGACAGGCCCCCACTACAAGTGAACTTATATATTTGTGAGATTTTTTAAGTAATTTATCTCAAACGCTGGAGAGAGGGGCGCCACTATCAAGTTTAAGCCCCGGTTCGAAGAAATCTATACTAATATTATAAAGCTGAAGAGTTTGTTTGTTTGTTTGAACGCGCTAATCTCAGGAACTACTGGTCCGATTTGAAAAATTCTTTAAGTGTTAGATAGCCTATTTATAGAGGAAGGCTATAGGCTATATATCATGAAGCTAAGAGCAATAGGAGCGGAGCACCAATGAAGAATGTTTCAAAAACGGAGAAAATTTATTACTATTGAGAGACGCAGACGAAGTTGCGCGGGTCAGGTAGTCGTAGATATCGAAATCGCCTACTTGTGTTGTGGAGGTCTGATGGCAGTCGCTGCTCGTAAAAAATCAAAGTTCAGCCGTATCGAAGTTAACTTAAAGTCGACCCCAACCTAGTTTGGAAAGAAGACTCGAAGCAAGATAGAGATGGACACCCTATTGTAAGAGTGTAAGCAGTACTAACATATACAACACAATCCTTTCTTCCCCAATCCCACCAACATGTTCAGACAAAGGTTACAGTACGCTGGTCTGCTGAAATGCTTCAACCGCCATGCATGTTCACCGTCTTCCTTCACGTTCGTATCCAAGCCCAATAACACCAGCAGTGGGATGGTCGTCATCCTGCAAAAAGGAGTTCAGACTGAATCTGCTATTCATTTAGTGGTGGTATATCATTAAAGAAAAGAAAGTTTAGTTTCTTATTTTAAACTTTGACTTACAAGCAAAATAAACAGTAAAAAAAATGTATTGATGTTCATCATCATCAACAACCTTAAATTGTTCACTGCTGGACATTTTTTTTTTAAAACAACACCCGCATTAGTAATATTTCCTGTGTCGCGGGGGACTTTACAAACACATGAAACGGACACAAAGAACACCCAGACTCAGAACAACAATTTGTGGATCACACAAAGTGTTGTCCCATGTGGGGTTTGAACCCACAACACTCAGCGTAGTAGGAAGCGGCGTGACAACCGCTTAAACCACTACGCCATCCGTGCAGTCATAATTATGAGCTTATTATTATTCCAAAAGCGATTTGCGACAGCGAAAGAAATGTTTTTTTTTCATCATATGATTAATAACAGGTTAATAACTTCTTCACTTACCCACCACGCTTCCACTCGTCAAGCGACACTGTACCGTCAGCATCGTAGTCTATCTCCACCATCATGTCTTGTAGGATCTGCAAAAGAAATGATGAGGGTTTAAGGTAGGTGGTGTGCTTTTTTATGTTTTTTTTTCATGGTTATGGTCTTCACCTTGAGACACACGATGAAGTGTTATCACATCATCACATCAGCAGCCTTTAATAGTCCATTGCTGGACATAGGACTTTCCTTAGAAATGAGGTTTTGGACTACTGTACCACGCTTGCCAGACGGGTTGGTATATCGGCTTTGTGTCAAGTTTTCGTTCTCTTTGCAGTATTGTTGTCCTGCGTAGTTTGCTCCCTTGGTCGGCTCTTACGACACCCACGAGATGAATAGAGGTATTGACACTTCGTATGCTTAATCCATCACCACACGGAAATGATACGTGACCACGATACCACGAAACGTGAAGTGATATATCGGAATAGAACCGACTACGGTGAAATTATGTGGTATTCCGTCCCATGTGAGTCTATTGCAAGAGACTAGGGTTTATCCAGTGGGTCTTGCCCTCCTTTCAGATCAGAGAGGCACGCTAGTGACACGTCGCAACGCTTTCTGAGGCCTGATTCTACTAGGATAACGGACAGCCTCGCCGTTACCCCCTGGGATAACCCTTATTTCGGGATGAATATTTAAGAGGGAGTAAAGGCGCAGACGGGTCACTTGATGGAAAGTGCCTACCGCCGACCACGAACGCATGCAACTCAGCAGTCACAAGCGTGTTGCCGGCCTTTGGGGAAGGAGTACGCTCTTTTCTTGAAGGTTTGAAGGTCGTATCGGTTCGGAAATACCGCAGACGATAACTTGTTCCACAGATTGCTTGTGCGAGGCAAAAAGTGTCTTAAAAAGCATGCCAATTTTGTCGTGTCGAAAAATTTCTAGGAGCACTCTCCATAATATATACGATGGAGAATGCAGAGTAAAGCTACATCTCTACGTAAATATCCTCGTTATACTCCCATTGACAACTTGTATACAAAATTAGATAATGATACGTTGATAAACAAACGAACTGTGCGATAAATATACATATATACGTACTTAATAAATACGAGTACACATAAATAAATACTTACTTAGTTACGAGTACATACATTCATATTATTACTCTTGACGACCGGGGCCCTGTTTTATGAAGCTGAGATTTCGACATATATGTCAAAAAGTGTCAAAATTGTCGAATTGTCGCGATTAGGGTGTTTAAAAAAAGTGACAAATATGTCAAAATTCGACAGGCATATTCTTGACACATTTGTCATTTAAAAATCAAAAAAAAAAACCTGTCATCTGTCGCTCAAAAAGTTTCATAAAACAGAAAAATGACAGATTGTCGCGATAATCCGACATATTTGTCAATTTTCCACCCTGACAATTTTGTCGCCTGTAAGTTTTATAAAACAGAAAAATTGTCGAATTGTCACTTTTTGACATATGTCGGACTTGTCGGATTGTCATCTTCATAAAACAGGGCCCGGATGGCGTAGTGGTTTGTGAACGGACTGCTATTCCAAAGGTCGCGGGTTCGATTCCCGCTCAAGTCAAACATTTGTGTGCATGAACATTTAATGTTTGATTTGGTCTGGGTGTTTCTATGTATAATAAGTATGTATTTACAAAAAAAAAAGTATATATGTATTTATATCAGCTGTCTAGTAGCCGTAGTACAAGCTCTGCTTAGTTTGGGACTAGATGGTGTTGTGTGAATGTGGTAGAATATTATTATTATTAATAATAATTTATAAAACTTTAAGGTTGTGATGAATTTGCTAGGTTGTCCAGAATGCCTGCTCGAACTTACATCTTGAATGAAACGAATTCGATACCTATCGATTTGGAATTGAACTTTATCGATCTTAGACAAATGTGGACTGTCTACTACTGCCCAACTGGCACCCGCGATCATAACGTTCTCATACAAAATCAAAATATCTTTATTACATGAAATTCGCTAAAAATAATTTGAAATCGTCTCTTATGTAGACTCTAAAATCATAGATTAACATACACAATAGCAACAATCTGGATATAAATGGATGTTCACTCACCGGCCTTAGTTCAGATGTCTCCCAGCCCAGGTACTCAGCCACCGTCATCATCTGGTTAACTATGCAATCCATTTCGTTGGTGTCCAGCACTCCGTTGCCGTCAGTGTCGTAGAGGCGGAACATAACTGGAAAAATAAAAAATCCTATCTCAATTAGAACTTCAAGGAAATCATCATCATCATCAGCAGTCTTTAAAACACCACAGTTGGACTTAGCAATGAGGTTTTGGCCTACTATACGACGCTGGCCAGAGGGGTTGGTATAGGGTTTTTGTCAAGTTTTCCTTCTAATTGCAGTGCTGTTGTTCTGCGTAGTTTGCTCCCTCAGTCGGCTCTTACGACCCCCACGGGATGAATAGGGGAGATGACACTCTGTATTCTTGATCCTTTACCATACGGAATTACATAATATACTTGAAAAGTAAGCTGCCTAAAATATTGTGTGATGAGAACGATCATTTGTTATGTGCATGGGTATAATTATTCTATATCTCTCTCTTAATTTAAAAGCCAAGTCCTTGTAGTGGAAATATTAGGTCTTTACCTATGAAATTGCCGTTTTGTATGCAATAAGTGAAAGTACTTATTTTTTCAAACTTTTTTGTTTCACTTATTCGAAGTAATCACCCATGCAATCGACGCATCTTTGCCAACGCATTGGCAGTTTATTGAGGCCCTTCTTGTGAAAATCAGCTGGACGGGAGGCAACAAACTCTTCAAAGGCATTTTGTACTGCCTCTCGGGGATTGAATTTTTTACCCACTAAAAAGTTGTCTAAATTTTGGAAAAAGTAATAGTCGGTACAAAATGCCTTTGAAGAGTTTTTTGCCTCCCGTCCAGCTGATTTTTAAGTTTAAGGTTTTATATCGCCGTTTAATACCGTTTAATATCATAATATTAATATATTTGTAACAGATACAGATTGGAAAAGTACTAGTCACTAGTTTTCATATATAATACGTAAATAAGGGAGGAACCATCGCAACCGACGATCTCATCAAAGTTTCCAAATACTTTTTATTACGTGTTGTAATTTGGTTCTTTGTTGTAACAAAATAAACTTTATTTTCCTTCGCAATTATTCTTGTTTAGATACGCATCATTAATTGTTAATTTAGGGTTTAATTTTACGAGGTACTGTTTTAAAATGAGGAGTCGGAGTAGTTATCACCCATAAACATAATATGAATACTTTAATTATTCTGTTTTTTTAGCACGCATAACACACACACGCACTCGGACGTACGCACACACTCACAAACACGCGCGTGCGTATTCACGTACACACACACGTGGCAACATGTGCACACACAATCAATCACACGCATTCACACACACTCATACTAACACACGTAGTCTTTGTCGTGTTTTAATTCGTTTTATCAACTGTAGATTTATGTCTATACAATCGGAGAAATCAGTCAAAGGTACTTACATTCTAACTTGTCTTCAGGTCTTCCAGCCTCCAGTAGCGACAGGTAGCAAACAATGTCCTTGAGAGACACCCTGGCCGTGTGCACTTCTAGCGTTGAAGAACGGCGCATTAGATGTTTGAAGTCTGCAAACAATTTGGTTCGGGTATATTTAACTAATATAAAACTACTCAGTTAGAGAGTTGAGACGCTTGCGACATCATATCTGTCTATATAGCTATTTAAAAGATTTGTTTGTTTGTTGGATTTGAATAAGTCCACGTTGGCAAGCTACTATCTCGAAGTAATACAGATTATGTTATTCTAGTTATACTTTATTTGGTGTAGAAGTAAACGAATGGGGGGTTCCTGATGGTAAGTGACTATCAACGCCCATGAACACCTGCAACTCGAGAGACACAAGTGCATTGCCGCCCCTTGAGTGCCCCTCTGTCTCAGAATTGGGGAGGGGAGGGGATAAGAGTTGGGTCTTCTGTTAACACTAAAACTGTACATTCATCAAGAATAAAATCAAAATAAAGTTTTGCCTGTCTTTCTATTTCTCTTTGTATTTGAGAAAAAATGATATTGGATGAATATATAATCGTTCTTTTTAATTCTTTAGTTTTCTCCGTCATTCATCTCGTGCAGAAATTAATTTCATCACTGGTAATTGTTTTAAAATACTCAATTATTTAAATCAAGCATATGACATAGTGACAGGAATTTAAATATATATAGTTTATTTTCAAACATTATTTTATTTGTTTTAAGATTATTGTACTGAAAGAAGATGTAAAAAGAACGATAAAATAACCCTAATATTTATGAAAAATTTGACAATTTTAGAAGTCGTTTTACCTTCGATCTTTGTAGACTGGTTCACCCTCAGAGAGTTACTGCTCTTCCTACTGGAGTTCCTAGACATCTGGCTGTGGCTGGGGCTGGCTTCATTACGGCCTAGACACAGTTCGTGTGATGAGTAGGACGGATGAGTGGTGACTGTAAACATTGGATGAACACTCCCTGGGGACAACATAAGAAATTAGATTTGGAACGGACCTTAAGCAAGCTAAGGTATTTTACGGTATAGGGAGCAAATGAACAGAAGGGTTACCTGATGGTAAGTGACTACCGTCGCCCATGGACAGCTGCAGCTCAAGAGTTACAAACGCATTACCACAATTATAGGTGGGGCGACCCCTGCTCTCCAAAGGTAAGTTTAGTTAGTTAAGTGGTCTTGGGCTCCGGTAACCTCACTCACTCACTCTTTTAAAAGTAACGAAGAAGTTGCTTAAAACTGGTTTTGTGTTAGGCCGTGGTCTCTGACTCGGGTCAGACCCTCCCATGGTCAAAATTCTAAAGTTCTTTACCTAATCACAGAACGCTACCGCACGCTAGAACTGCAATACAGTCCACACAGTACTGACGCATCTGACACTTAGTAACTATTACCTTAGTTAGTGTTAGTACCTAAGTACCATCTAAAAATAGATGCGTATACAACGCAGTATTGTTCTCATATCTACCCACGTTTGAAAAAATAACAGCTTCTTATATTGTTCGTTCTCTGAGTGTCTGGCGCTGTGTAAAGAACGTGGGTGAACCTTTTAAGATTTTTATTCAATTCTGGAATACTTAGCAGTTAATGATGTCGGTTTTCGACTTTGTAGAGTATTAAGTTACGAGTTTGTAAATTAGACTTTAAGTGGAGTATAATTGGTGCTTTTTCTAATGGATGGGGTTAACCAGCAGACGGGTTGTACTCTGAAATGTGTACTTAAATATAGTTTAACGCCATAAGTATGGAAATATTTGAGATTTTGCGTACCAGTGCGACTCCTGGCTCCTTTATCACTGCCATCCACAGAATCGCCAGAACTTTTGCCGAGTTGCTGCAGACGCTCCGCCAAGCCGTGGATCTTGGAAGCCAAACTTAATTTCCCCTACGCAAAGAATTGAAATTGTATTTACAATATACATCCTTTTCTTGTATAAAAATTCTTATAAAAATGTTTTGAGAAGATTTTCCTTTTTATTATTTGTTTAAAACTTAATGTACATGTTGTACAAAGGCGGACTTAATGCCATGAGGCATTCTCTCTCAGTCGACCTTCAGGTGATGTAGAAATATGATGCGGTAGGTGCAAAATAAAATATTAAATTTAACACAATTGAAGTCCAGAGACGTACACAATATATAAACACACATACAGATATAAACCTACCTAAATTTAATCTTATATATAAAATTCTCGTGTCACAATGTTCGTTCCCGCACTCCTCCGAAACGGCTTGACCGATTCTCATGAAATTTTGTGTGCACATCGGGTAGGTCTGAGAATCGGCCAACATCTATTTTTCATAGCCCTAAATGGTAAGGGTGACCCATCCCTAATTTTTTTTTTTGTTTTGGAATACAACGTTTGCCGGGTCAGCTAGTAAAATATATAAATACTCAGTCGGGTATTAGCGTTGTGACTGTTCTGCCAATTTACTCCGAAGAAGACTTTTCTCTTGAATGCAAGGCGGTTTGTGGAAATCCTGATTTCGGCAGGGATGGCATTCCAGAGAAGAACTGACTTGACATAGAAGGAGGAGTTGATGAAGTTGGAGGTGTGAGGGAGGCATAGAAGAAGCATGTTGTTTGTTGACCGAAGATTTCGGTAGTGATTGGAGCATAAGAAACGGAAGTGGGCTACGAGGTATTCAGGTGGCGATGGAGACGGAGCGAGAGTGCGTGGAACTCTGCCGTCTCCTTCTGCGAGCAAGTTATGCTCGCGAATGAGACGGCGGAGCGGGACCGGGAGAGGTTTAGGACTCTCCCGGCCCGCCAGGAGCGGGAACGGGACAGGTACCGCAGGCGACTCAGGCGCCGGAGGTCGCAGAACGACCTCCGTCCTCCAGAAGCGCAGGCCTGGGGGTGACAGGTGAGGCCACCTGTCACCCTAGCAGAAGCAGGCCGGGGTGGCAGCGAGCACGTTACGAAGTGCGCTCGCTTCCAGGGAGCACAGGGAACATGGGGTTCCCACACGGGGGGGGGGGGGGTCGTCTACTCGTCTGTAGATGACCCGAGGTATGTCGGGGCACCAGGGACTTCCTTTCTAGGGTACACCTGGTTCCCCGGCTATTAGTACCCGAGACGGCGTGCGGTTTTAGTAGGTTCGTGTCCGACATGCCACCGACAGGTGGTATCCGAGTGGATTTCCGCACGGAAAAAAAAAAAAAGGTCGCGATGGAGAGTTGAGGAAGGAAAAGAGTGAAGTCAGAGCTCACAAGCTCTTGCGCTGACGAATAATTTTACTGTCATAATTTCAGGCTGATAAATGTTGTCAATTAAGATCACCTTAAAATCAATAAAAAAAATGTTTTTGACATAAACGCCAAGCCTGTGCCAGCATGCTTGTGCATGCACTCTCACGCAAAGGGTTCTCGTGAGACACTGTTGTTAACTTGTTATCAGATATACACAGATTCACTAATGCACAATTCCTTTTTTAAAGGACCTCCTTGCAAAAATTCGGTACTTTTCGTTCTCCACGTCGACTTTAAAGAAGATTTATTTATTAGTGTTGGTTGATACCTGATGGTCAGCATGCGCGGTGACTGGAGCACATGCGGTGGTGGAACTCGCAGCTGCCATCTCCCGAAGTGCAGGACGGCGATCTCGACGGACGAAAGAGAGGAAGAGGTGTCTAAAAGAGAAAGTGTACTTGGGTTGTTGTTCTTTCTTTTCAACTAACTATAAAACTGTTCCTCCGAGTTTATTCCCAAACTAGGTCGGGGTCGTCTACTATAACAAGGCTGAACTTTGATTTCTTACGTTTAGCGACTGTCATTAGACTTAGAACTAGAACTTAGTGCCTAGCGTAGATTGACTGTTATGGACTTTTTAGGGCTCTAACTATTTAGGGACTGACTAATATAAAAATAATGGTCACCCATCCATAGACTGACCAGGCTAGGTTTGATTATGTTTGTGATAATTCGGTTCATAATTAAAGCGTGTCTTTTAGTTTGAACTAAGATCTATTTTTTAAACCTTTAAATTTAATTAAATTAGTAATGATTATGAAAGTCAATGAGAACGTATTTTTCATCTTCTACTTCTTCTCATCCAACAGATTAATTCATCCATTTTCCTATCTAATCACTTATCCAATGAACCCTCAAAAAGTATTTTATAACGAAAATATTGCGCCATGTTTTTCTTTTTATATTACTGGCGACATCCACCTGTTGAGCTCATTGGAACACTGAAGTACCTGTTAGCATCAAGGTCCACTCACTTTTCACCTGTTTAGAAAACTTTTTCGCTGGCAGTTTAATTTACGTCGTACACAAAAATTAACTTTGTTTGTTTTGACAAAATGACAGATGGTTATCCGTCAGATTTTTTTTTAAATAAAATAAATTTAGTATAGCAATGATAACATACTAATTGTGGATAAGAGATAATAATAAGATAAAACTATGATTAAGTTTTGTAAGAGAAGGTTTCAAATTAACAATCTGCTGTCATTTTTCTGCACGTAATCATTTTCAACAGCCTTTAATAGTCGGCTGCTGGACATAGGCCTCTCCTTAGAAAGGAGGTTTTGGCCTACTATACCACGCTGGCTAGATGGGTTGGTATAGGGTTTTGGGGTGCTAGGCTAGAAAACCTCCCCGTGGTGCACCCTGGAAACGCTGGCGATGATACTGTTTCCTCCTTGTCCTCTTGGAGGAGAGGATTATCGCCAGCGGCTAATATTCTAGCAGAAGAGGTAGCCGTTCATCGGCTCTCGGGCAAGGCCTGGTCCAGCAGGGTGGGCGTGTCTGCCGGTTGCCCTGCTGGCTCTTCGCTCTTCGGAGCATGGAGGAGGAAACCTCGGTAAAAAACCGGATGGCGGGGCCCTGTAGGGGCCACAGTTTCTCCACTAACAGCGGTGGAGAAAGGAGGACGGGCTCGGCGTGTACTGACACTACCACCGAGCAGGCAGGGGGACGTATTCTCCCTGTCAACCGTCGGCATATCGTAATCCCGAGAAGAGCGCTGTGGTTAAGTCTCGCGGCTCTGATCGGGGGCGAGGGTCTTGGCTTAACCGCCCGGACCGCGAGGAAGATAACCTCTCTAAAAAATTCCACGAATCCCGTGTTCTGGTGCGTGGCCAGGGGATGCATGGCTGATGGGAAGTTCAGTCTCGAGCGCACTCCAAGCCGAGGTACCTGCGGACCCCTCGGTTGGGTTAAAAACTTACGCTTGCCCGGGTAATGGGGGATCTCTGCCCGGGTGGACCTTTAGTTCTCCCCCACTCGTGGGATTTATTATGGATGATTTAAATTTAAACTCAAAACAAAAAACGATCGGACAAACACAACGAAAACAGGCAAGTCAAACGGACAAGCAAGCGAAAGGAAAGAAGGAGAAGAGGAACAGTGGAGTGGATGGGTCGTCCACTGAGGGTGAGGTGGCGTCGGGAACGCCTATCTCGATGGGGCTCCCAGAGGTCAGTCTGACTCTGGTCTCTGGGAGCCGAAGAGCATCGGACCGTATTCGTTCCGGATCCGCCGTTTCGTCGGATGGCGCGGAGGCCATGGAGGCGGAACGAAGCGACAGCCGGAAACGCGGACGCTCCAGGGAAGAGGAGACCGACACGTCCGGCGAAATGATGCCACCCAAAGTGGCAAGCAGCCGCCGAGGGAGGGCACGCAAACCGGCCTCGGTCGCGATCCCGTCAGGCTCCGCGTTCTCCAACGCGGAGTCGTACAGAAGTGTACGGGTGGACGGCTAGGCCGTAGCGGAGGAGGAGATCGCGGATCTCCTGCTCAAGGTTCGGGAGCCGGTGGGGGGAAATGCCCCCCAGGCTCGGCAGGCACGGACACGGCGTGCAGGAGAGGGCGAAAGCGGCGGTGGCCGTCATTCACAAGGTGGCCACCAAGTCCGTTAACCTTAAGGGCTCGTTTGTGAGGGCCCTTAAGGACTCCTCCTCCGCTTTGTCGGAGGTCGTGGAGGGCCTAGCGGGCGATGTGTCTCGCCTGCAGTTGGCCAACGAGAGGCTGACGGAGCGGGTGAACGAGCTAAGCGCTCAGTTCGCCCGCTTCCAGGCGAACCTCCCCGAGCGGGAAGCCCCGTCCGCGTCCCAGCCTGCCCCTACCACCAACTCAGGGGCATTTGACTCCCAACTGCGATGAGGATTTCAATATGCTGGACGGACGCCTGGCTGGCCTGGAGGCGAGACTGCCCCCTGCGCCGATTGTGCATTGTGTCGACGTCGTCGCCCATGGAGGAGGCTGTAGAGACGATCCTCCTGGTCCAGACGAACCTGAACCACTGTGCCGCGGCGCAGGATCTCTTCCTGCAAACCATGGCACAGTGGTCGATAGGTGTTGCCGTAGTCGCGGAGCCCTATTCTGTCCCTCCCCGTCCAAACTGGATGGGTGACTGGGACGGCTCCGTGGCAGTCGTCGGTTCCACGACGGCTCATTCCCCGCCCTTGTCGCTAAGAGACAAGGGCACTGGATATGTTGCCGTCGAGTGGGGGGGGATCACCATATATGGCGTTTATTTCTCCCCCAACCGGAGTTTGAACGACTTCGAGGTTTTCCTAACCAGCTTGGAGACCTCGATACGGCGACTAGCGTCTGGGCACGTCCTTGTGCTGGGGGACTTCAACGCAAAGTCCATTGCGTGGGGTTCCCCCAGGACGGACGCAAGGGGCGAGGCCGTAGAGGAGTGGGCGGCCTCGGTGGGCCTCTGTCTTCTCAACAGAGGCTCCACCAACACGTGCGTGCGACAGCAGGGGGGGTCGATAGTGGACCTTTCGTTCGCTACCCCTGCCCTCGCCGCACGAGTAAGGAACTGGCGTGTCCTGGAAGAGGTTGAGACGCTCTCGGATCATCTGTATATCCGATTTGAGCTCTCCCGGACCCAGGACTCCAGTAGGGGTCACGTGGCGCGGCGTTTGTCCCGCTTTCCGCGGTGGGCTGTTGCCAGATTAAACCGGGACCTACTAGAGGAGGCAGCCATAATTCACTCGTGGCTGTCTCCTCAGGCTCCGACCGAGGAGGTCGACGTGGGGGCTGGTCGCTTTCGCGATGCGATTACGCAAATCTGCGATGCGGCCATGCCCCGCATTCGAGGTCGTCGGCCTCCAAGGAAGGAGGTCTACTGGTGGTCCCAGGAGCTGGCGGACCTCCGTGCGGCCTGTACACGTGCCCGGAGGTCCTACACGCGCAGTCGGCGGCGTCACCGTGGAGACGGTGGGGAGGACCGGCTTCATGAGGAGTACCGACAGGCGCGGAAAACTCTGAAGCTGGCCATTAGCCGCGCCAAAGAAGAAAAGAGACAGGAGATGCTGGAGGGTCTTAATCGTGACCCCTGGGGTCGCCCTTACCGCGCGGTGCGACAAAAGCTCCGCTCCGTCGGGCCCCCCCCTTACGGAGACTCTCCAGCCCAGCTTCCTGCGAGAAGTGGTTGAGGGCCTTTTCCCACAACGAGCGGAACACACTCCCCCGGCGATGGCCTTGTAGAATCGTTCGTATCTACGATAGCGGGTAAAGTTAATTGGAGCTTTTAAATAACACTCTTTATAGTAGATATAAGTTACATATATTGTTCATAAGCACAGGAAGAGTAAACACAAGCATAGGCAGAAAGATAACAAGATAAGCACAGAAAGGAAGCGGGAAATTACAATCAAAATACTTTTCGAAATAGATTCGCGTCGTAGCCGTTTACGGTCGTCCGGTCGCGCGCGCGCAGCCTCTCGGCGTCAGTATCGTGTAACGACTGGCGAGGCAGGGAAATCCGATGGCGCACGATTCGATGCCGAGCGCCTCCGTAACCGTCGTCGCTGGGCGTGGCACTTGCCGGCCGCATAACGGTATTCTTTAACCGACTTCGTTTAAAGGCGTATGTGCAAATTGTGTGATTGCCATATCAGCCCCCCCGGAGACCGTTACGGTCGATAAAAATCGGGAAAACGTACCCGGCGGCCAGATCGCGTTTTCTGTGGGGAACTGGAAATATCTGGTGACGGATCACGCAACTGCAACGCAGAGTCGCTGAGCAAGTACGCCGGTTTCAGCCTATCAATCGACACTGTGACAGGTTTTCCTTTCACATCTATCTTGTAGTATTTGTCACCACGTTCCAGAACGGTGTAGGGCCCAGTATAAGGGGCCTGCAACGGCTTGCGGACAGCGTCTTTACGAAGGAAAACTTGACGTGAAGATGACAAATGCTTACTCACGAAGACTGGAGAAGTACCATGGTGCATCACAGGTGTGGGCCTAATCTTGCGAATATTGGCTCTTAGACGTGAAAGGAAGTCAGCGTGGTCTACGACTTCTACGGGAGTGCTGTAGAAAAATGTTCCTGGCAATCGCAGCGTCTCTCCATACACTAACTCTGCTGATGACGAGCCAATGTCTTCTTTCCATGCTGACCGTATTCCTAGAAGCACCCATGGGAGAACCTCATACCAATCGTCGTTGGCATGGCACGTAATCGCCGATTTTAGCTGACGATGAAATCTCTCAACCATTCCATTGGCAGCAGGATGGTAAGCTGTTGTTTGAAGATGGTTTGACCCGATCAACCTAGACAGTTCTCTGAACAAATGTGCCTCAAACTGCTTACCTCTGTCCGTTGTAACTTTTTCTGGACAACCAAAGCGTGATATCCAGCCAGTGACAAAGGCAGTCGCCACTGTGTCAGCTTTGATGTCACGAAGCGGCATAACCTCTGGCCAACGTGTAAATCTGTCCACGGCTGTGAGACAGTATCTATAATCGTTTGACGTTGGCAGGGGTCCTATAAGGTCTATGTGTACATGGCTGAATCTGTTCGACGGGGGAACAAACGCATGCACTGGAGATCGGGTGTGCCGAGTAATTTTCGAACGCTGGCACGGGATACAGCTGCGCGCCCAACTGCTGCAGTCCTTCTTTATGTTAGGCCACACATACTTTTGAGTCATCAGTCTCACTGTCGCCTTGACTCCTGGATGACTTAATCCGTGAACGCTGTCGAAAGCTTGTTGACGGAACTGTGGTGTCAGATATAGTCGAGGTGACGGGTTGGAAACGTCGCAGTATAAACTCTCACCTGAGCCAGAAATGTCCATCTTCTGGAGGTCTAGTGAGGAGTCGCTTTGTAGGAGTTGCTGAAGTTCCACGTCATGTTTTTGCGAGGATGCTAAGGCACGCATGTCTAGCGCGCTTGTAATTGCTTCTGTGCGAGAAAGAGCATCCGCTACGACGTTGTTATCACCTGAAACATGTTGTATATCTGTCGTGAATTGTGAGACAAAATCAAAATAGCGGAACTGGCGCGGAGAACAATTTTCTGAAGCCCTCTTGAACGCTGCTACTATTGGCTTGTGGTCTGTGAAGACGGTGAAAGCTTTACCTTCCACCATATGTCTAAAATATTTCACCGCTTCGTAAATAGCCAACAATTCACGGTCGAAAGAGCTATACTTTCTTTGTGCCGTGCTTAGCTTCTTCGAGAAGAATCCTAGAGGCTGCAACCCTTTATTTGTATCCTGCTGTAATACGGCGCCGATAGCGTTATCTGAGGCGTCCGTACTGATTATCAGAGCTGCCGATGAGTCTGGATGAACCAAAAGTGTAGCCTCGGCTAAGCTTGTTTTACAGGCGGTGAATGCTTCTTGCAGTTCGGGTGACCAAATAATAGGGGTGCTAGGTTTTTTAGCTGGGCCAGACAAAACATTGTTTAGTGGAGCTTGAATCTTTGCAGCTTTAGGTACGAAACGTCTATAAAAGTTAACCATACCTAGGAATCTGCGAAGCTCTCTGATGGTCTTCGGCTGCGGGAACATCTTGATTGCCTCTACCTTCTGCGGAAGTGGTTTGGTACCTCCAGATGATACTGTATACCCCAGGAATTCTACTTCAGACTCACCAAACACGCACTTTGACGTATTTATCACAACTCCGTGGTCTTCCAGGCGCTGAAAAACTTGTCTGATGTGCTCCAGGTGTTCTGCGTCGCTCTGGGAAGCCACAAGAATGTCGTCTAAGTAGGGATAACAGAACTCTAGGTCTCGCAAGATCTCATCCATAAATCTTTGGAATGTTTGAGCTGCGTTACGAAGTCCAAAGCTCATAAAAGGGAACTCGAACATTCCAAATGGTGTCGTAATAGCGGTTTTGGGCACGTCGTCAGGATTTAAAGGAATCTGATTATACGCGCGGATCAAATCTATTTTGCTAAAGACGGTACATCGAAAAAGATTGTGAGCAAAATCACCTATGTGCCGCACTGGATATCGGTCGGGTACGGTACGAGCGTTTAGTGCGCGGTAGTCGCCGCATGGTCTCCATTCGTTGTTCTTCTTCGGTACCAGGTGTAATGCTGATGACCATGGACTGTCGGACCTTCTCGCTATACCTGTTCTTACCATATCTTCGAACTCCCGGATTGCAATTCGGAGTCGATCTGGTGCTAACCGCCGTGGACGACAGAATACGGGTGGCCCGGGTGTGGTGCGTATGTAGTGGAGCGTATTGTGCTTGATCTTGCGCGAAGACAGGTCCCCAGCTGGGCGTGTGATATCTGGGAACTGCAAGAGTAGCTCATGATAGCGTGAGGTACCTGCGACAGATTTAATGTGGCACAAGGCGGTACGTGCAGGCTGAGCGTAAGCACTGAGCGACGTTACATTGTCTATTAAGCGGTTGTGTCTAGCATCTACTAATAAATTATAGTGCGACAGAAAGTCAATGCCTATTATTGGTTTCGTAACGTCCGCTATAACGAAACGCCACAAAAATGCACGCCTGAGTCCAAAGTCCAATGACAGGTTTACCCACCCAAACGTATTTATCGTGGAACCATTAGCTGCGTACAGTTTATAGTCTGAATTCACACGCTGTCTATTTGGAATGCACTTGATAGGATAAACGCAAAGATCAGAACCGGTATCTATTAAATATTGGATCTTAGTCTTACGGTCAGTCACAAAAACACGGCCACCTGAGACACTATTGCAGTCACGCGTTGCCGCCTTCACTGACTGCTCGACCCGTTTCCCTGACGGAAGGAACATGGATCACGGCACTTTGTAGATTTCTTCCCAAACCGTTGATGGTACCAGCAAAATCCCGAGCCAGCATTAGAGCGGCTTCGGGACCGTCGACGCCAGCCTGGAGACTGCGCTCGACTCCTCGAGCGCGAACGGGAAACAGCTGACAGCTCGGCCACCTGTCGCGACAAGTCGTCGATGCGACGGGTGAGCTGTTCTATCACAGTCGTCGGGCACGATGCTGCCGGTGAGGGAATCCCTGTAGACACCGCGGTTACCTGATTCTGAGGCTGGAGAGAAATCTCATGTATTTTATCCACTATTTGGGCGACTGTATCCAAGGGGAGATCCACTTGCGCAGCTATAATTGCTTGGATCTGGCTAGGTAAGCGACTTGTCCACAGCGATCGGATGAAGTCATCGGGTACTTCCGCACCAGCCAGGCTACGAAGGTGCCGAAGGAATTGGGACGGCTTCCTGTCCCCCAGCTCTTCATGTGTAAGTAACTGCCTCACACGTTGTTCTTGCGAAGCCGATAATCGCGAGATCAACTCCGCTTTGATCTTTTCATATTTATTTTCGGGGGGTGGATTAGTTATTACGTCTTTAACTTCACACACGTATTTATAGTCCAAGTTAGCTATGACGTGGTAAAATTTTGTGGCATCTGCTGTTACATTAGACAACGCGAACTGACCCTCTAATTGAACAAACCATAGTGCCGGTTCGTTTGGCCAAAATGGTGGTACTTTAACACCAACACGACATAGTTCGCTTGGAACGTCCTTTACGCCGGTAGTAGGCATCGTCGCGGTTATTATACGTACGCACGACTTTATACAATTATCACTGCACTTAGAAATGTTCGCACGTCGGGGTCACCACTGTAGAATCGTTCGTATCTACGATAGCGGGTAAAGTTAATTGGAGCTTTTAAATAACACTCTTTATAGTAGATATAAGTTACATATATTGTTCATAAGCACAGGAAGAGTAAACACAAGCATAGGCAGAAAGATAACAAGATAAGCACAGAAAGGAAGCGGGAAATTACAATCAAAATACTTTTCGAAATAGATTCGCGTCGTAGCCGTTTACGGTCGTCCGGTCGCGCGCGCGCAGCCTCTCGGCGTCAGTATCGTGTAACGACTGGCGAGGCAGGGAAATCCGATGGCGCACGATTCGATGCCGAGCGCCTCCGTAACCGTCGTCGCTGGGCGTGGCACTTGCCGGCCGCATAACGGTATTCTTTAACCGACTTCGTTTAAAGGCGTATGTGCAAATTGTGTGATTGCCATAGCCTCCTTGGCCGGAGACGACGGGGAGCACGGGGAGGAAAATGTTCCGCCCGTCCGGGATTCGGAGGTAGGGGCGGCTGTTCTACGGATCCGTTCCAAGAACACCGCCCCTGGGCCAGACGGGGTACCGGCCCGAGTGCTGGCCCTGGCCCTCAACCACATGGCAGACCGCCTCGGGGAGGTGTTCGACGCTAGCTTGGCGTCGGGACGCTTCCCTGAGTGCTGGAAGAGCGGGAAGCTGGTCCTATTGAGGAAGCCGGGACGGCCTGCCGATTCGGTCGGGGCCTATAGGCCCATCGTGCTGCTGGACGAGGCGGGCAAATTGTTTGAGAGGGTTCTTTCTGCCCGCATCGTCCGGCACCTCTGCGAGGTCGGTGACCGAAGAGGCCGTGAGCTGTGGCGGCGTGCTGTTGGCGGTGTCATTAGACATCGCCAACGCATTCAATAGTCTGCCATTCAGCTGCATCAGGGAAGCACTCCACTATCATGGGGTGCCAAAGTACCTGAGGCGGCTAGTGGCAGACTATTTAGAGGAGCGTACCGTCGTGTACGAGGACCGAGAAGGTAATTTGAGGAGTCGGCCCATGTCGTGCGGTGTTCCACAGGGGTCTGTTCTTGGACCCCTCTTGTGGAACATAGGGTACGACTGGGCCCTTCGCGCCGATTTCCCCCCCGGGCTGGGTGTAATCTGTTACGCAGACGATACCCTGGTGACAGCCCGGGGGGCAAACTTCCAAGAGGCGGCGCGCCTGGCCACAGGGGGAGTCTCCCTGGTGGTCGGGCGCATTGAGGCGCTGGGCTTACGGGTGGCCCTAGATAAGACGGAGGCCCTGTTATTTCATGGGCCCCGTCCTGGTCCACCCCCTGGCGCCTCAATCGTGGTCAACTCGGTCCTCGTACCGGTTCGGGCCCAGATGAAATATCTGGGCCTGATCCTCGACGGGAGGTGGCTCTTCGACGAGCACTTCCGACAGCTTGCTCCAAAGCTCCATACTCATAGAGAAAATGGAACGCCTTGGAATAAGAGGTACTCCACTTAGGCTGTTCGAGGACTACCTTAGTGAGCGAACCCAGTGCGTTAGGGTGGATGAGTTCATCAGTGAGGAGCGGATAGTCACATACGGAGTGGCTCAAGGTAGCGTGATTGGCCCGACCCTCTTCCTAATCTACATAAACGACCTGGGTCTGCTCACTTTACCAAATGGTAAAGTAATTACTTTCGCAGATGACACTGCCCTCCTATTCAATGCTGACACATGGAGTGACGCCTATAAACAAGCGCAATCTGGGTTTAATGTTGTAAGCGATTGGTTGCGAAATAATATACTTACCCTAAATGCGACTAAAACACAATATGTCACTTTTTCAATAACACATAAGACCGCACCGAACTTACCAATGCCACACTCGATCATAGCCCACTCGTGTCCTAGTCCTCACAATGTTACGTGCTCTTGCGTACACCTTCAGAAAGCCGATGCGGTGAAATATCTTGGAGTAATAATGGACAGTCGCCTTCGTTTCCATGAGCATATATCTACCCTCAGTGGCAGGATGCGCAAACTAATCTACGTCTTCAAGAACCTAAGGCAAGTGGCTGATGATAAGTTGAGGCGATCCGTTTATTTTGCCCTTGCTCAATCGCTTCTGACGTACTGCATCACAACCTGGGGTGGTGCTCCAAGGAGCACTCTTCTAGAGCTAGAAAGAGCCCAAAGGGCAGTACTAAAAGTTTCTTTGACCCTACCGTTCAGATATCCTACTTCTCTCTTATACAAGAAAGCTAAAGTTCTAACGGTAAGACAGTTGTTTATTAAGCAGATAATCCTAATGCAGCACAGTAAACTGAAATATGATTCTTCTCTTTCCCGTGGCAAAAGGCGATACAATCCTGTACATATAAGTAAAGTCCGGCTTAACACCGTGTATTCAAAACGCTACTTTTGTTACTTGGGACCATACCTATACAACAAAATTAATAAAATCTTGTCAATTTACGAAATGCAAAAAATAAAATGTAAGATGAAATTAACTGCTTGGCTCTCAGATCTAACTTACGACGACACTGAAAAGATGCTTGCTGTCTTAGTATAAACATAGGTACATCACGATCCTACACCCACTATTATGAACACACACACACACACACACACACATACACACACACACACACACATACACACACACACACATACACACACACACCTACACTCACACAATAATAATAGTTCGACCACAACTAATTGTCAAAGCGCTGATACTAACAGATATGTATACAATTAAGGAGGGGACCCTGGTGTCCTGAAATACAGGCTCTGAGCCTAGCTTAGGCACCAGTCTCCCACAGTATAATATTTTGTAATAATTCTTATACAGGCTAAAATTATGTATAAATGTATTGTGGCGAGAAAATAAACAATTTATTATTATTATTATTATTATTATTAAAGCTGGTCGGCGCTGCGTCTGCCCTAGGGCGACTTTTGCCCAATATGGGTGGACCCAGCGTCGCGACAAGACGGCTGTACACGGGGGTTGTCCGGTCAATGGCACTGTACGGTGCACCGGTGTGGGCGGCGGCTCTGACCGCCCAGAATAGGGTACGCCTCTGGCGCCCTCAGAGGGTAATGGCGGTCAGAGCCATACGCGGTTACCGCACCGTTTCGACGGAGGTGGCATGCGCGTTGGCCGGAACTCCCCCGTGGGATTTGGAGGCGGAAGTGCTCGCCGAAGTTTATCGGCGAGTGGCTGACTCCCGGGCGGAGAGCGGATTTCGCCCTCCGCCCGAGGATGTGCGCGAGTGGCGCGAAGCCGCTCGCCGAGACACGATGGCTCGTTGGTCGTTCCGGCTGGAGACTCCACGCGCTGGCTTCGCCGCCGTGGAGGCTCTCCAGCCGGTCATCGCCGAGTGGGCAGGGCGGCAGCACGGGACCCTTTCCTTCCGGCTGACGCAGGTGCTTTCAGGTGCTTGCAGTGAGGACTCGGCCCAGCACACGCTGGCGGTCTGCCCCGCATGGGCGGCGCAGCGCCGGGCCCTCACTGCAGTCATCGGAGTGGATCTCTCGCTACCGGCCGTAGTACGCTCCATGGCCGGTAGCGACAGTTGTTTTACCGCGGTCGCAACCTTCTGCGAGGTAGTAATCTCGCGGAAGGAGGCGGCGGAGAGGGCCCGGGAGGACGACCTCCACTCGGACCCGATCCGCCGCCGGCGAACCGGGCGGCGGAGGCCCGCCTATCACAGCCTCATGCCGCCCTGAGTGTGGCCGCGGGTGGACGGGATGGGTTTCCCCTCCACCCGCATTAGTTTGGCCAGCCGCGAGGGGGCGGCGTCCGCGTGTGCCGGACGTCGCCTAAAGAGAGGAAAAATATTGAGACGGAGCCCGCACCAGGAGCGGGCTGGCGCTAGGAGGGGCCGGATGTCTTAACAACAGCTGTTCCCGGATCCCTCCTGTTACAGGCGCAGAGTGGCACACCGTGTGGTTTTAGTCGGTCCGAGTCCGACACACCACCCCGCCGCAAATCCCGGAGGGGTGACGGTCCGAGGGGATTTCCACACGTTAAAAAAAAAAAAAAAAAAAAAGAGGGTTTGTTTGAAGGTTTCCTTCTCTTTGCGTAGTTTGCTCGCTTAGTCGGCTCTTACGAAACCCATGGGATGAATAGAAGTGGTGACACACCGTATTTTTAATAACCACACTGACAGAAATAAGTTTAAAGATGAGTACAGAAACTTGATCATTTTAGCTGTTCCAAGAACAGGGCACTTTAAAAATAACTAAAAGCTGAAGATTTGTACTAAGGGGTAATGAGAGGAAAAGAAGTTTGAGGTATGTAATGTTAACAGCCAGTGTACAGCTATTATCTCTGCCAATCCTGAAGAAGAGCATGAGTTCATGTATTGTATGGATATAAGTTCGATAACAACTTCACTATTTTCAAAGCATTCTTTTGCCTGGCTAAAATGTTTTTAAAGCAGATTTTGCCAAAAGATCTTGGATTCTTCAAACGTCTTAGAGGGTATAGGTTTTCCTTATGTAAACGTGTACCATCTTTTTCTTTTTACTTATTTTCAGGTGATTAAAAGACAAACGCCTAGTCTTATAATTGGTGATTATTACACGTCACCAATTATAAAACTAGGCGTTTGTTGAAAGTTTCCCGAGCTAATATCGTGCTAACAGTGCAGTTCAGACTTTGTACCAAAGCTTATTGCGATACTCTAGCAGATTTAAGAGATGTCCTAGAGTGAGAGTGGACATCATAAGACCCAAAATTTCATTGAAATTAAGTAGAGCATAATTATAGCAAGTGTACAGTTTGATTGAATAAGGCTTGTGTAGCCTACTTACCTAGACAACTCATCTGGTGTGGATACCTCCAGAAAGGTATCCAAGAACCACCGGAATCCTTCATAGTCAATATCCTGAAACAAGAAACAAAATATTAGTTCAATTCGAAAGAGATCGACATTACTCAATATATTAACGCAGTTTATTTATCAAGAACAAATTAACAAGGCGACATTATATCTAGACGCACACAGTCTAAGGCGAGCATCAGATTCCAGACAATCTATCAGTGACGCCGTGTTTATTTTACCAAGATGTTTACAAGCTCCGCGCAACCGGTATCACGAATCGATACGCATCGCTGAAGGAAAGCTTTAAGAGGTACACAAATGGAGGAAATATATACACTTTGATTAACATTTAAAGGTGGTTTCTTTGACTGGTGTTATTGAACTACGCTAATATATTTAATAAATAAATATTGTAAATAAAATATTGCCCGTGTGGTGACGGATTAAGAATACGGATTGTCACCTCCCCTGTTCATCCCGTGGGTGTCGTAAGAGCCGACTAAGGGAGCAAACGACGCAGGACAACAACACTGTAAAAAGAAGGAAAGCTTGAAACAAACCCTATACCAACCCGTCTGGCCAGCGTGGTATAGTAGGCCATAACCTCCTCCGACTTGGACTCCGCTCAGCATGCGCTGGAAGACTGCCGCGCGTGGGCGTCTGACCGCGAGGTCCTGGTCGACCAAATCCAAAGCAATCATTGCTGCCATGCTGGTGGGTAAGGAGGGCTGGGGCGCAGTGGTCTCTTTCTGTGAAGCTGTAATGCTCCAGAAAGAGACCGCTGAACGGGATCGGGAGAGGGCCGATCCCGAACGTAGAGGACGTCGACGCCGATATCAGCCGTCAACGGGGCCGCGGGCTGCCAGAGAGTGGGGACCTCTGGTGGCAGATTGATTGCTGCGGTAGGGGATGGAATGGCCGGGCTGATTGCATTAAGATGCGATTGGGCCGCCATGCCGCAATTGAAGGGAAAAGTGTTCTCCCCAGGGATAGGGCCTGATTGGGCACGGTGTCAAATTCGGGGAGGACCTGAAATAACATGGTCCGGGTCCTCCCCAGAGTAGGACACCTAAGGCCGGCCGTCGGAGTGGTTTTTAGTGGAATCACCAGATACTCCTGGCTCCTGAGTCCCCGAGGAGCAGTAGATCCGAAGGGATTTTCCCCATGTCAAAAAAAAAGGCCATAACCTCCTTTCTAAGGAGAGGCCTATGTCCAAGAGTGGACTATTGAAGGCTGTTGATGATGATGATGATGAATATAATCTAGCTATTAATCCAGCTATTGCCAACATTTCTTATTTCGTGTAAATTACTTTGAAAATGTGGAATTTCCATACAACCGTTCATCTATTATTTTAACCCCTTAAGTGTGAAATTTCCATAATTCCTTTTTCTGTGGGTGCTTAAAACATAAAAATCATCAGGTGCGAAATTTTCAAGTTTGAAGCCTCAGCGGTGTAAAAACAACACAGTTCCTCATCTGATTCTGATTCTTCGACACAAAGGCTCAATTAGAGTGATACCACGGTCTCATAGAAAGTCTGTATTAAGCAATTCTGAGGTGAGGTTCCCGGAGCCGAAACTCCTACCCCATGATCGGGAAGAGGATGGGAGAGGCATTGTCAGATTAGTCATTTCGAGGCCCTTACGCAATTAAATCCTCGGGGCGCCGTTAATCCGGGCCTGGGGAGAGGGAGGACTCATAGGGGAGTAGGGGACTCAATATTATTCATCATCATCATCATCATCAACAGCCTTTAATAGTCCACTGCTGGACATAAGCCTCTCCTTAGAAAGGAGGTTTTGGCCTACTATATACTATACTACTATATACTATATTATTAATTTTTTTTAAAGGTCTACTAGCAACGGAAATTACTAGTATTCCCGGCAACCCCTTCCGCGAAGCTAAATTGCTTGTGTTAGAAGTGGGTTCACGTCGCTAGTACTAGTCAGGATTCGAACCCACGGCCTCTTGATCGCAAGTCCAATGCCTTAACTACTACGCTATCGCCATTTAAAAATTGTCGAAAAGGATGTCATAAATTATATTTTTTAATTTAATAAACCTCTTTAAGTATAAAAGTAGTTATGAACTACAAAACATTTATTATGTAAATGCAGCTTCGTTTATAATCGCATTATTTATGTTTCATTTGTTCGTTCATCCGATCACGTTGTTAAGCTGTTATAAAGCCAAGTCTAGCTTCTTATAAATAAAATGGCTGGATGAAATTTTTATTGGATATTTATAGCCCTCTTTTAGCCGAATCTTTGGCCCTTAGGGGATATTGGACGGTTAACGCAATAGCTTGCATCTTGAACACCTTAAAGCTTCTCAGAATATATTTAATGTTTTTTTTTATATGAATTTTGCTATATGAAAAATGTTTTACTGACTTAAAATGTTTAATCTTTTTTTCGTTTTGCTTCAACAAAACATGTGATATCTGAATAACTATAATATAAACTTTCTATTTGTTAAAGACTAGCGATCCGCCCGGCTTTGCACGGGTGTAATATAGATTTTACTAATAATTGATAGGCCCGCGACCGACGACGTACGGCCCGAAGCGGCGACGGCCGCTTTGCCCCGCATTTTAAACCTCTAATATCTACTAAAACATAATTTTTTATGATATGTTGTAAAGAGTAACTTTAATCTACATTCACAACGTATCTACCATATTTAATTGGATAAGGAATAATAATGTATTGTTTAAAATAACCTATTTTTTTATGTAATATTTAAAAGATAAAAATGGTTACTGTGTGTTATCCTTAGGAGATAGACATATACCATCACGATGTTTTTCTAGATCTTTTTAAGAAATACAATTCCGTAGTACATTTTTAGTCTATCTCGTATGTATGTGAGCGACGCAAGACCATGTTTTTTACGACAAATCTATGAAATTCTGGTATGTATGTATTATACATGTAAACCTTCATCTTCAATCACTCTCTCCATTGGTGAAAATCGCATTAAAACCCGTTGCTTAGTTTAAAAGATCTAAGCGTACAACAATAAAAACGTCTTTATTTTTAACCGACTTCCAAAGCACAAAAGAGGAGGTTCTCAATTCGTCTGTATTTTTTTTTTATGTATGTTTGTTCCGCGATTTCTCCGTCAATTGATGACCGATTTTCAAAATTCTTTTTGTAATCGAAAGGGTATGCTCCGGAATTGGTCCCATTACCACCAATTCAGGATCTGATGATGGGATCCTAGAGAAATCGAGGGAAACCCTCACAATTATTGGGAATTTCACAGCCCCGACAACGTGTTTTAGCTACGAGTATTTCTTTGCGCGATGTGATGTATTGACTGCGCGATGTGATGCGCAGAGAACTTGCAGTATTTATGTCACCACAGTAATTTTCGTTGAAATTAAGAAGAAAAGGTTGAAATTTTGTATTCTATCTTGTTAAAATAATTCGGATAGACGTTTTGTTGCTATGGATGGCATCGCATTTCGTTTGTAAGTAATTTTATACTTAATTTATTAAAATAGTTCTGGAAAAAACTCTTAAATTTTGTGTGGGTCAACTTTCTAAGGAGAGGCCTATGTCCAGCAGTAATTTAATTCAGATTCAGATTCAGATTGTTTATTTGCATAACACAGGTATTAATTACATGGTATTCATTCACAACAGGTTCACTGTGCTTTACCACTATGGGTGTGCAAATTTTCAATTTGTACATTTATAATTGCATATAATTTAAACATAACTTAAAATAACCTATAGGTATATTATTAGCATCATTGATTACTATAATAAGATTGTGATACATACAATGTCAACATTCAAAGTTAAACTATAGTCAAAATAATAAATTAATGTCAGGAAGAAAAAATAATTATTACAAAAAAAAAAAAAACACTACAAATTGTTAGAGATAAAGTCCAATACATTATAAGAACATTTTTTTAAGAGGAGCTTTTTTAATTGTGACTTAATGTACTTTATAAATTTAATGTACACAATAATAGTAAAACATACACTACAAACTCCACACTAGACATCCAGATAATATATCCATAATCATAGCACTTAAAAATTCTGTTACACTGTAGTAACTTTTATCTACTAGAAATTTACGCAGTTTACTCTTAAATACAACTGTTTCCAAATCTTTCCACCAGCCCGGCAGTTTATTAAATATTAGTGGTGCCATACAATAGACACTTTTACGCATTAACGTGGTTTGACAACGTGGTTTAATATAATATTTAATATAATCTTTGTTACTATACATTACGGTACGTAGTGTTTTAAATATCGTTCTTATCTACTCATTACACACATATCCTACACTAAAAATGGTAAAATAAACCCTTTTAAAAAAAAGTTGAACCGACTTCCAACAACACCGACAAAGAGCACTAAAAATTAAGAAATAATTACAAATCTAAGTAAAAAACTATAATAAGTACCCTCAATGTAATAGGTAACATTGTAATACCAATAGTCCCTTCTAGTCTGTTTGAAGTCGGTGCCAAGCCAAATAGGTGCTTGATAGGCTTGGTAGAATGTAGCGCGGCAGCTGCAGTCTTCATGCTGCGCAAAACTTTCTGCTACATCACGTTGACATATCATTTTTAATGTAACTTGTATTTTCTCACCTCACTTTTTCGGCCTAAGGTCAAATACCTGTTGCACACCTCTGTCTAGACTGATAGTAGGTACATACCCATTAGCCTGTAGCAGAACATCCCACACAATGTGAACTTGTACTTTCTTAGCACACTGTAAAAATCATTATAAAAGCCTTTCCCCTTTCGAGCCTTTTCCCAAACTATGTTGGTGTCGGCTTTCCGACTACTACGATACGGCTGAATTTCGTTTTTTTTACGTGTAGCGACTACCTCAGACCTTCACAACCCAAATACTAGGCGATATCGAAGGTCCGTAGAAAACGGTTACTTTTTACTTTATTTATTTTGTTTCAATACTTTATGCACAGGTGTGGGTTGTACAATGGCGGACTTAATGCCACAGGCATTTTTTCACGAAAGGAGGAAACATGGTCATATTTGCGCCGGTTGAAG